ATGACGCATGTCCATACTACACAGCGTGAAAAAATTGTTCCGCTTTACATTATATATGTGATAGCTCAGTGTCTAGGCGCTCGCCTTTAATTCAATATACTCGAGCAACCTGAGTTCGATCCCCGGCGCCGGCACCATTGAAATTATTAATTTTTAGTGCCGAATTATCCGTGCAGCCGTGGGGCTGCGTGGTGGGTGGACTATGCCCTAACACCCACTGTACAGAGGAGCTCTTTGCCCAGCTGTGGGACATGTATAGGCTGATACTTTCAATTTTATGACATATATAAGTGAACATGACAGATGACTTAGAACGTATGATACGGTAAGAGATAGCAGTATATAGAATTGCAATCCAGTTACACCAATTGGTGTTATTTGAGTGCTTCAGCTTCGGTGCGCTCGTGTCATATCTATGTCGTATTTTAATATATTATATAAAAATACGAGATAGATATGACACGACCACACCGAAGAATCAAGAATCAAATCAATCAAATTAAAGAAGAAGAATTAAGAATCAAATAGCCTCTCGTATTTTAATATACCTAATATTCTTGATTCTTAATTCATACTTACGCATTTACCGACCGACATCCTCTAGGACAGTGTCCGATTTTCCTAGCCTGACGCAGATAAATATTTCGCCGATGACTCGATAAGATCCGTGAAAGCGCTTTCTCGACGATGCAAAGCATAGTCATCAGAAAATTTTGCAGAAACATAAAAGCTAGCTACTCGTTTAGTTTGCGTATATGGGTAGGTTTAGTTTTAGAAAGCGAATTATGGACCTGTTTTGAGATGGTTCTTCTTGATTATCATATGTCTATGTATGAATGAACATGAATTCAAAATACACAAATAAAACAAAATATTAAATCTGAGCATTGAGCAACAATGTAAAAATGTAAACACGTTAATAATAACACGGTTTTATAAACCATCATAATCCTGTGTTCATTTTAAGAAATACACAACGAAATTTCTCAAAACTTTCGTGTGAAATTTGTAATTTTACTAAATGCCCGTAGAAATGATTCATCGGCACGAATATAAGTTACTCGGCGTTAACGACATTTCACACCCATGCAACGTGTATGTAAATTTCGAAAATATATTACGGAACAGTTTCTCCTACGAACGTTTTGCGCGCAAGATAACGGCGGGCTTTAGGTCGCGTTAAGTTGAGCGTATCAAGTGTTGACCCGCCACGCGGCGGAGGCGCATTCATTTGCACCGATGCTAGTTTATGCGACGCGGGCACGTAAATGAACCGTGTTTTTAGCACGTGCATAAGGGGAAAACGACCGACATGACATCGAATGGCGGTGTGATTGCAGTATCGTTCGCCGCCATCTAAATAGCCGCGTTTCGGCGTTCACCCCTGTTTTGAACGACGTATTAGCGACAGAACTTAACAGCATTATGCTATAAAAAGCTCTGTCGCTTAAAGCCGCTCTCGTGGGTGTCAAACGAGGAAGTGTTTAGAGAAGCGTTTGTCAACAAACCGTCTCAAAATCGGTCACCGACCTCGCGGGGAGCTGCGGATGACGGAACTTTAAAGACTAATTAATATAATGGTAGGTTGTTATTATACCTAGGCGTAAAATTCAAAAATGATTTTATCAAAACGATATACTTAAATTACTAAAAAAACTAACATTAAATGCTTTAAACCCTAAGGCTTTAAACCTCATCATTATAATATTTGTATAATTGAAATATATATTCGATTTACAATTGTATTGAAATGTAACGTGAAAATGTTGTAAAATCAAGAAAATTTTTTATTTAATAACAAGTTGTACTTAATCTAGTAATCTATTATATCTTGAAATTCGCCCGTTGACATAACAAAAATAAATTACCACGATCGTGTTTCAAAAGTTTTGCTGTAACGACATTATAATAAAAAATAATTTAATATGTCTTAATGCAATTTCGCAGCTTTGAGTGCTTGTCCCATCATTTATAGCAAGCGGAAACGTAGTACTTAAAAATTCTGAAACGCAGTCAATTTCAAAGACGCTGACGTTTTATTGAGTAGAATACCTTATCGCTGTTACTGTATAATTGAAGGCTTTGGGAATCTTAGATGTGATCGCTATTACAGCCGATGGAATTTTTTCTGAACAATATCTAGATTTTGGACTCTATCTCCTTTTTAGGGTTCCTTACCCAAAACTGTCTGTCTGTCCGTCTGTCACTAGGTTGTATATCAAGAACAGTGATAGATAGACCGTCGAAATTCTCACAGATGATGATACAAAAAACGGAATTAACATATATTTAAGTGGGGCTGCCATGCAACAGACATGATTTATTTGCCTTTTTTTATTGATAATGGTACAGAACACTTTGTGCGCGAGTCCGACTCGCACTTGGCCGGTTTTTAAAATTTGACACCCAAACATAAACAATAGATTGTTGAAATTCCAATCTAATAATGGAATCTCATTAAGTTTCATCAGAAAACGACGTTTTTGTTGAGCCATCAGATGTTGCGAACACCATTGCTACTCGTAATTAAATCGACTGTCAATGAGCTGACCTAGTGAACGATATTTTTCATGCTTACATAGTGGTATTGAATGCAGTACGCCCCAGGGTAGAAAGTCTATTTAGAGGTGTTTTCTAGAAAGGCATTCGTGAAGCTCTAACAATATATACATCTGTATATAACTACATAAAATATATGTACATGACTCTTTCGTTGTCTTCTGTCATTCTTTGGAATTGAGAGAAGTAAGGGTCTCACTTACATCTTATAAATAGACAATAAAACTTTTATACTATAATACTGTATTATAAAAAAGGAAATATTTTTCTAAACTGTATATATACGACTAGTCCGCATCCCCTAAAGGAGTATTAAACGTTTGATCAACTGTTGAATCCGTAGGGGCCATCTTTTTGAATTACACCAAACTTAGTGTTGAAAATATGAGACTAAGAAATTATTAAAAAAAATATTTGTTGCTCAGATGCTTTCGCAGCCAACGCGACGGCCGCGCCCGTGGAATTGTTGAGGTCACCACGCTTTCTTAGGCCAAATAATCACGCGGTTGTTTATAGCAGGCCAATCCTCGGCGGTCGTGTGAAATAATTATATTTAATCTTTTAGCAGAGATAAAATGAGCTTGTTTTGTCAAAATTATAACGTTCGACAAAATGTCAATGATTTTTCAATCTAACATTTTTACATCCGGAACACGACAGAATTTTTTATATGCACCTGTTACGAAGATTGAAAGTGGGAGCTCCGGTAAAATAGATTTGCTAATATTATTTCACAAACATTGTGTTAACTCGGTATGTTAACTTTAGGTGATTGCGCACACCTGCGCTATAGTCGCCCACCTGTTTCTGGCGGTGCTCTCACGGGGAAAAGTATGAAACAATGCTAAGGTGATAGAGGTGGCCGAGACACGCTCCACTCAACTTTCACTTAATTTCATGACCGTGGGTCAATGGACGCTGGAATTCAAAAGGCAACGTGAATATATTCTAGCCCATATTATAAATAACATTGAAATTAGCTTAACCTATGGACTTTTCGACTTTTCACAACTTTTGCGGGTGAATTATAATACTGTAATATGGAATAGTTTTAATGTATTTATTAGCGACGCGTTGTTGTTATTTTATTTTGGTGTTTCGAAAGCGTTATTAACCAATAAATAAATAACTTTTCACGTGTTTATCCTACACGTGAAAAGTTGTTATTGACAATGGAGTGAATTTCAAGGGATCACTAAAAAGATTAACTTATCATAAACTCTAGCTTATTATTTTATATTTATTTGCCATATTTTAAGTTGTGTTATCTTATGGTAAATATTTAATAGTCTATCCAGTACATATAATTCAGTCAAAAATCTGACTCTTAGTATACATTACTTATGATGACGTATAAAAATGAACGAATTAAACTGCTAACTAGCATTCCAGTAACACTCCAACAGCGCGCTTTTATTGATATACTATAAATCTAATTGCATAGCCCTAGTATTTCTCTCAAAAATCATAATGATAATTAGTTAATATAAACAGATTAGATGTATCGTTTGGAATACATTTTATGTTTTTGTATGTTATTTTTTAAGTAAAATAAACTTCAACTTACGAAGCGAAATAATCATAATGGTAGAATCAGGAAGGAGCGCACTATTTCAACTACGTGTAGTTTAGCTTAGGCACCGGACATGATTTCTAGCGATCATGGATTAGTTGAAATTCGGAACGATTCACGGAGATTTGAGCGTCGATGACGCGTTAAATAATTCGTCATGCGATGCCTTACTGAGTCACGACTTTCGCCTTTCCTTCAGCACGCGCATCGGGGTCGCAACAAAGGCAGCACTGCGATTATCAGATTATACACCCATTGTATAGTACTTTGATTGTAATAATTTTATTTGTTAGAACTTGACATGTTTGCAGGTGATTTATAACGGTATAAATCCCTAATTGTTGCAATACTTGAATTTAATTAAACGAATTTTGAAAAGTATCGGTGATTGTTGTAAATGGTCAGATTCGATGAATAATAATTTGATCAATAACTATGTCTGGGCTAATTGATATAAAACGCTTCGTCCATTAAACTATTTCTAGTAAATTCAAACAAACACATCAGATTGCTTTTCACCTCTATAATATGATTGAACTTTAGGAATGTAAGAACTTAAATATTTTAGAAATGTAGCGAAACATCTTCGTCATTTTTACCTGATCGTCCTTTTTTTTATTAAACTCGCTCGCATTATCGTACCTCTATCCCATGAAACGAATGCCGTCTTTGATGGCTTATACTTTAAATAGCATCTCCATTACGAGCCAAGAAATATAACATGCTAATAATGTAACCGTAATTATCACTAGTATCTATCATATAGCTAAGCTCTCTTGTCATGTATCCTCCGCTGCACTTTTATCAATGAGTGAAAGATCCAAGGATAGCTCGAAGGAGGATTTATTAAATTAATAGTCCAAAGTCATGTCGGAGCTTTGTGATGTGGGACACGGGAAGCAAGTAGCAGATCAGCTAACAGACCCCCGGCTGCTAACGCGCTCAGGGTCACCTTGATGATGACCTGACGTTTCAGTGGCACGCCCAGAACGTCGAGAAGCTCCGCAACCACGTGGGTCATCACGCTGGCTCTCTTCCACCTCTGCCAGATAACCCCCGCGTTCACCGCCAGCAACGCCGCACCCGTGCCGCATAAATACGCCTGCGAGTACAATGGCATTAACGGTTCCTAATGGAAACTACGTGTCACCCAAACCACTTACGAAATATTCTTTACCTTATTCGTTTTAATGGGAGAAGGTGGCAATCACGCTCTCAGTTAACTTGACGTAGTTAACTTAATAAGAGTCGTAACCGCCGCCCATGGACATTTGCAACACCCGTGGGAATGCAGATGCGTTGCCCTAATAATAGAGTAGGCCCCGGCTACCTCACTGGCATGACTAAAACACAGGAGCATGACACTGCCACTTCACGTCGGCCTTCTTTGAGGTCGTGGTAATCAGCCGGATGGATCTGCCCATTCGTGCAACAGCCGAAGCTGTTGCGTGGTCCTACCACAGTTATTGCATTGAAATTCCTACCTGAATTGCATGCCCACTACAGCTCGTTGTCCCAGCACATAAAGCGAGGCCGAGCTCTGCGACACAATAGGCTATCACTAAGCCGCCGGTAACGCTCAACTCCCAGCGAAATAGGCGCAAGGAACGCAGGTGGATGGTCAGAAGACACATCAGCACCATTAGGGTACCGAGTCGAAGGAGCAACAACAGCGTCCTAGGCTCTTCCTGGTGTTCCTGTGACGAACCTTTAGAAACACTCATTTTTCAATCCTTTTTAAAACATTTTTGTAAATATTGTAATATGTTACGTTGGTTTTTGATTGACAACGTTACGTCACCGTTTGAATTTCTAATTAAAGTTTTTAACCTCAAAAACAAGACAATTCAGATATAGATTATGTTCGCATAATAGATTATGTCTGAGTGTTCTTCATCTCTTCAGTTGCAGAACCTAAAAGAATAATAATGAAATATTAGTATAGTATAGTAGTATAGTAGTATAGTAAATAGTTATAGACATTTTAGTTTCGAGTATTTTAGTTTTTTTAGTTTTAGTTTCATTTTAGTACTCGAAAACTATAAGCGACCGCCGAATTCTGCTTGTTGATAAATTCATAAGTGACTTTTCTCTATAGTTTAAAATTTATTTGATTTGAATTACGCCGGAGTTAAAGTTATTTACATTTACCTTCTTTTTTTGCATGTTTGATAAATTTATGAGCGTAAAATTTTTACGATGCGCGCGCAAACCAACCCTCAAAAAGCCACATGATGCTGGGTAACCAAAAAGTTGCCAATATTAGGCAACTTTTTGATATTTACCTATAATTCCAAGTCATTGAAGTAAACCGTTATCAATTGCATTTAATGTCTTTACGCTGACTATAACTACTAAGTATTACTACTTAACTAGTATAACTACTTACGTGTGTACATAAGTACACATATTATAATTATTGCATTTTTGACTGTGTTTAAAAAACATTAGTTCTGTGATCTGTTACTTATAGTTTATATTACTGTTCAGGTTACGCAGCAGCCATTTGCCGTTTCCCCGGTGCACCGGCCCACTCCCGCATCTCTTTCTCCGACGAGACCATGGCAGAAGGCACTGTTGCCACCTACTCGTGCGAGCGAGGTTTCGAGCTTCTCGGCCCCGCCAGGCGTTTGTGTGGCGCCAATGGAAAATGGACGCCCGACGGCATTCCGTTTTGTGGTACGTACATTTATTATTTCTTCTTTTCATCTATTATAATTGGTTAACCACGAACAAAAATTAGAAAAATATACAACTGCTCTTTTAGATGCAATCGTGGGTCTATACGCTCTGGTTGTGTATCTGGGGATAAAAGGGAAAAAAATACACCATTTCTCCAGCAGATGGACTTTCTCGATCGCCTTGCGTCTATCGATAATGATAGATGAAATGAAAAAGATCACATTAGCTGGCTGCCAACAAGTCGTTACGAGAAACTGCATAATAACTACGCGTTCGAGCCGGCGGTTTCCGCACGAAAATTGCTCTAGTGTTGACCCACTTTTACTTTCATCGTCGAGAAATCACTTCACATGAGCGGTGAATGAAGTCGAAAAAGCGGAAGATTCATTGTGGATCACTCCCACGGCTCTCTCTCCGTTCAGAAACTTTCTGCGGCTTACGCCCTTTGTGCGGGCTTCTACACCTGCCATACTGTTTCCGTTACATAAATGACGCAGCCATGTGTAGAAATTTAATGCGAACCCATTATGTACACATACCATCATTACCATTGTTATCCAAGGATAACAAGCTGAGTAGGGTATATGTCTTGACATATATATACTTTTAATACATATTTTTTATCAACATTATTATATGATAAGTGTAATATCGACGAAATGTAATCGATAGAGGTTCATATTTCGTTTAAATTTTAGACATTTTATTAAATAAGAAAGAATTGTAATTTTTAAAACATTTATGTCAAAGTAAATTAAAAAAACTTTTTTTTGTTGATTGATGTTTGTGTAATCTTGTAGACTATGTAATTATAGATATCGAGGATAGGCTAGGTTTCCATGAGGTTGATAGATCGTACCTAATCAGGACTCTACTTAGGTAGGTTGATTATTTTCCTTTATCATGCGTTAGCAAAATGAGGGAAGGAGAAATGTAAGTGTACTTACTGCACACTGTAACTTGATTTCACCGTACCGTAGGCGTGGAAGATGTGCATGTGTAGTGTGCTTTAAGCTGCGACTTGTACTGTTGACGGCGAGAAGACCAAGTGGGTCGGGAATACGTTCGTTCCATTCCTTGATGGATTAATTTCAATCCTCCATGGTGACGTTACGCGGACGAAGGACAGTCCATCAGAGGATCGCGTAGACTTTCGGCTCTTTCGAAAAATCGTCAAAGAAGAGTACATTGTCCGATGTGAAAAATTTTTAATCTCGCTCAACTGTTTTTAAGCAAAAATTAAAATCTCACTATTTAGCCGACGCCATCGCTTTCTCAGCAAATACAATTACATTTTTTTCTCGTTTTATCATCGCTGTGATAACCCCGCTTCGACTCGGTTATTGGCACAATCACACCTGTGCTAGAAGCCACCTGTCGCCGATCCATTGTAGTATAACAGCATAATTAAAGCCGCAAGTTGGCCGATACTCTAAACCGTTACTACGTTATAAAAGAGTACATGCGTATGTATGAATTCCGTTTTTTCTTAAATAATTTCGTGGAATTGTTTTGTTTTCTTGTTCCATATTTAAATTACGAAAATGGACCACTCGCTATGGTATCTTTTACAACTTTTTTAATATATGTTATGTGTACAATTTAACCAAATAAAATTACGTACAATAACGGTTAAAAAAAGTATTGTTTTTTTACGCTAGTAAATAAATCTACAAGCCTCCATTTTTTCATTAGTTAGTACACGAACGCAGAAATTTAATTTACGAATATGATTAATGTGATTAAATTTAGTACACATTTACATCTAATTTTAATATTGTTATTGATTTGTAGGTCATGGACCTTAACTTTTTTGGGCCTCTGGGTCAATGCGACGTCGTAGGTGACTCACACGTACGCGTATTGTATTTGTATCAACTTACACCGGAAACCATCGTCTGTCATGGCAACTTGTCCCGAAACGTTATTCAATTTTACGTGTTTGTCAATGCAATAAACATATAGATGCGTATGAACTGTCGTGTGTACCGTACTATGACCACAAAACTTATATCGATTTGGCACTGTAACGGTAAATAATAAAAAGAACCCAAATAGAGTACATTTCAGTGAACATGATCCCACAATGTAACGTTTTCGTTCTCTGGTAATCCCAAATATATTTGAAAAAATTGCTACGGTTGTAAGTACTATTTATATCTCGAAAAGCATTTCAATCTCAATGCTGTACTACACATACGAGTACAATACTGTAGTCAATAAATACTTTCAGAATTATGATTATAACTCATTACTTTATATTAAGATAAGACAATGTACTTCTTTCATATTTCGTTAATTGACGTTTTTTCCTTTCAGTCCGTAGACTATTAAAGCCTTATCTAACGACACCCATTTAAATTTTAATAATCTTTGACCCGAGTTTGGAAAAACCACAGTCCGCGCTGCATAGGGCCGCGTATGTGCGTTGTTTGTAGGGAGAGGCGTGTCACCTACGGGCCGTTGAGGTCAGGTACGGACCCTGACGTCGATGATTGACTGTGTTTAATTAATCGGTGGCTGGGGTCGTTGACAACCGCCCGGGAGACACTTTACCGTATGTGAGTGTAACTATGTACAGATAATCTACGTATGTATATACTATAACGTGAAACTTTCCTGTATACTGCGTAAAACTATAACAAAGAATGTATTTATCTTATAAAATTTATAGAATTTTACCCACACCCCTAAAATATTCTTTTCATATTATGTCCATCCAAAGGTTGCCTGGAAGAAATTGCTTTAAGTAATAAGGCCGCCCATTGTACAACCCTTACATAATTGTTATTTTTAATGTATTCTTTTTACCATGGTGTGTGCAATAAAGAATATTCATTCATTCATTCATTAAAACTAATGGAAAAATATTTCGGTACTGCAGTCAGAATCACTTGGAAACGCTTGAAACAAATTCTGTATATATGTATAAGAAAACACAGTTTCAAATTAATTTAATTAGAAATCTCAAAGTTTGTGGATCAAGTTGGATGTGTTTATCATTATGTAATATGGAAATTTACTGTAATTTAATTCATTCTGCTGAGTAAATTATAAGATGCCAGTAAGTAGTAAGAATATGAATCAGGGAAACATAGATATGCCGACCATTGTACGCTCTTGTTTTTTCTTTTTTTATGTAAAAAGTTTCCAAGCGAGCAGACGGTTCACCTGATGTTAAATGAATACCGCCCCCATGGACATCTGCTACACCCGAGGGTTCCAGATACGTTGGCAACCTTTTGAAAATTTCTTTTTAATGATAGAAATAATTGGAGTCGAACTTGATGTTAATTTTATGTTTACGGTTGATAAATTGATTTATGGTGCACATAATTGATTAACTATAAGCGTTAACGATGGTGTTAGTTAATAGATTTTCCGAGAGAAAACGAGTAACGCTTTATGAATGCGCGTACGATGAAGCGGATATGTCAGTCGGAAGCCATCTTTAGGAAGAGCTGCGACGGGGCGGGGCGCGGCCCGCTCTGTCACCGTTACCGCCAAGTGTTGGCATACTTTAGGCGCCGTTACCCTCTAGGGATGTGCCTTGATGTCAAAAGAATATCTTTATTAATATTTTACTGTTTAGCAACCTGCATAGAAATAACAACAAAAAAAATTAAGATATGTGAAGGCCGCGAATCCGTGGTTCGGTCACGTGGTGGATTAGGCCTTAATATCCTCTGTACAACGGAGGGTTTTGCTTTTTTTACTAGCTTGCAACTAGGAGGTTGATATGTTGAAGTAACATTAAACTATGGAACCCTTTCGTTAAAAATACTTCATAACATTTGGTTGGCCTACTCGTATCAATACGACGACGGAATGTTGACATTCCAAATTATTACATATACATGAAGGAAGTTTCGGAATGGGCTTAAACATGTACACTATTACAACAAAAATGCAACGAATTCACGCATTTTATTTTGATTTTAAGTTGTCTACGTTTCAGGCCCTTTCCAGCGGTTACGGGACAGACATAGCGCTAGATAGTGTTCGAAACGGCAGGTATTTGAAATCAAAATAAAACGCAAGCAAATCTATAAAACAGTTTATATTAACATAAATCAATAATTAATTATGTTCACTTGTATTTATATAAGGATAACTCCTATATGTATATAACAATGCATGCGCCAAGTATTGCTTCAAATGCTAAAAAACAATGTAGATACAAGACATTAAGATTTTCGTCGGTGTGGCAATCAGCCCATTAGCTTAGTGGCTAAAGCCGTGAATGTCGAAGACGTGGGTTCGATTGCCACAGCGGTGTCATTCTTTTCGTACTTTGTCCACATATTTTAATTGGTATAACTCAATAAGGACGTAACTCTGTGGTTTTGCATTAGATCAATTTTCATTCTCTTAATTTTGTTGCAAGCGCCTCTTTTGACAACCCTGGAAAACGCAGGTGCGTGCACCACTCTTGTTTACTACGAACGGTTCGCGTCAATGGGTGTTTCTCCCTGTTTTTATTAATCTCAGGTGCGACTTACTACAGCGACGGAACAAGGGCATGAGTATTTACATTCTTTTTCTGAGGTACTCGCATATTACAGCTTTTATGTCTTAATCGCTACAGCGGTTAAGAGCGAGCGTTAAAGTCTATTACTCGCAATTGCGCCTAAAGTGATCTTAGTACGATTTTCTTTTGACGAGTGTTAATATAAAGTATATTTTTTTGGGATGTCAGGTGTATTGCACAATGCATTACGAGATGGCGCGAAGTATGAAGATGAGTGAGTGAGAAATAATGATGGAGTCCATATTTCATAGTGGATTTTCGGGTATTTGGATCTGGACATTTTTATGAAAAATCTAACAACAATACTTCATTACTACGTATGTTACTTAATGTTAATCATTGTATCAAGAATATATAAGTATGTTTGAATGCCGTTTGTTTTTTTTTTTAAATCGTAGAATTGTCACTGCGACCAGTAGAGTACACGTTGCGTTAACTTATAACAGCATACTGACTTCTGACGCTTCTACGATTACAGTGAAATGAAGTTATAGTTACACTCACGCTTTTTCTTTCCATATTTTGCTAACGTTTGATTGCGAGCATTTACATATCTATGTAGAGTCCTGTTTATCTACATAAAGATTGATCCTGCGATCAATCAAGCTCGTGGAGACTTAGCCGTACCACCAGATCTGTGCCCGATGTCTCACATTAAATAGTCTACAAGATTGCACAAACATTAATCATTAACATTTCTTTTTATTTAGGAACGCGGAAATTAGGGATTTCCATTGTTGCATATCGTTGAACTCTTTCACAATTAAGCACAAATGCTTGTTAGTTACGGCGATAAACAATACCTTTGAATGTCACCAATTTGGTGGATATAAATTCCAGAAGCGCATCCTTCACCGACATAAATATACCTCTTCAAATTATTCTTTATTTAAAAATTAAAACGGTATATCTTTACACAGTAAAACGGTCTCATGTCTTTATCGTGACCCATGATTGAGTGATATGTGGTGCATATATTTGTGTAGTTGAATAAATTATACGTACGTATTTGGATTTTTTTAATGAGAATCGGCAGCAAGCGAGAAAAGATTTCATTTGATAATAAGTAATTAGCACCAGCCTAGGACAATCACAATATCCGTAGGTTTGCAGTGGCAATACCACGAACTTACTTCGCCACACGAAATGTAGCAATATAAATTCTTCTTTATGTTTAAACGAATTTTGTAATGATATGTTAATGACTATACTATAAGTTGTTAATGTAATGATTACGGGGATATAGGATAATAACGGTTTGTTTATTGAAATTAAAGTTTCATACGCCAATCGAGGATACATAGATACATAGATACCGAGGAATAATTTGCCACAACAATAAGCGTGTTGCTACTTCTGCTCTGTCTATCTCCTTTAGTCGTACAATTTGTATGTGAACACCTATGTTTTTTCACCATATTTGTTTGTGAACACCGCAATTTTGTGAGTGCAACATCTTTCGACAAGCACTTTCCGCGGTTCCACTCCGTTGATAATACTCTCCATCTCGATCGCGTTCGGCAGTTTTTATCCCGGCCTTAAATCGTCGAGGTGTGATAAAGTCCCATTGCACTCTACTCCATACACCTCCGAAGGCCCTGCAGTGAAACTTCTCGTTTTATTCATCTACGTCAATAATAATTAGGAAAAATGAGTTATCAATGTTTCTTTTAAATCAATTATCTAAACTTTATTATCTTATAACTATACTGAAATGACATCGCTAATGCATTTGAATTACGAATAGTTAATAGCGGAATGGAATGCTTACTTTTTAATTGTTTTAAATTTTTAAGGCTGATAATTGTTACAAGTCAATTAATTTCTTTATTAAAAGTTGATCTATTAAATATTTTAATGAAATGATTTCGATAACATAAAACTTTGTTGACTTTTAACTAGCGTTCCGCCCATGTAATACCTATACTAATTACTAAAATTCATAAACTAAAACAATAGTTACTTTTCAACTTCTCTTTTGTTTTCTTTTTATGTTTGTTACCTCATTTTATTTACTTGTAAAACCAAAAAAAAATATAAGTAATTCAAAATAATTTAATTGGAACGTTTAGATATTGAAATAATAATAACTAATTATCGTATAAATCCACACATTATTTATTTATACACACATTATTTTTTTCACCGGATAACTTGTCAACATGTCAGTATCTCAGCCAGGATTTATATTTACTTCTTTGGCACCTATAACATACGCGAATTATATCCACGCTTTCACACTGAGAAAGTAATTTTGTCCGAAACCAATTTGCGTGCACCATTGAGTTTCCGTTTTTCGGATTTCTTTATATAATAATCAGTGTCCCACATTCGAGTCCGGTGCACGGCGACAAGCACGAACACTTGTCACTTTTACTATCTCTGTCTACCCTGTCGGGGCAAACGAGGTGACAGCTTAAGTAAAGGAACATTGCATTTGTTAATGTTTTTTCCGATAAGATTGATGCAGCGGATCAATTAAAATTAAATTTATTCTGATATTCAAAGCCTCAAATTATCGCATTTTCTCCCCTACTGAGATGTTTATCCTCGTCACAATAGTTCGCTGTTGCACGAATGTATAGGTCCGTCCGGGGAAGTACCACGACCTAACAGAGGATCAACGTGAATTTAAAGTGTTATACTTCTGCGTTTCGTCTGTTGAGTGAGGTAGCCGGGGCCAACTTTATTGAAAGGTGGCAATGCATCTGCAACCTTACCGGTGTTGCAAATCCCCATGGGTGGCGGTTATCACTTAACATCAGGTGAACCTCGCTTGCCATCTTCTTACATAAAAAAAACGAAACTCGATTCCGCTTTCAGTCCAGTGGACTTTTCGTTCTGTCACCGTAACGAAACGATCATAGCCTGCGCCAATTTACGCGAGCGAAGTGCTCGCTGAACGTGTACTAGTATCATCGATGGCATTTTCGTTCCACGCGACCAGTATGTATATATCTCATTACGTCGCTAAGCGAACGGGCTGAGGAAACACCACAGGACGGAACCGTTAGCACTGATCATGACCCTCCTCGTATGCGTGCGACGACCGACGCATTACGTAAATAATCATTCATAAGTACAGGCGCTGGAGGCATTATACTAGGATTCAAGTTTCTTGATACTTTTAGACATTTCTTGCATATAAAAATAAATAAATTTAAATTACTATGTCTAGTAATAGAATAGTATTTTAGATTTTTTACAACATTAAAACTAAAACATAAACACCAGAAAATAACTTAACGAAGACAGTTTATGTTAAAACGTTTTTTCACATTGAAATTCATAATTCTTTTTAAAGAAAGATTGTTATAACAAATTTTAGGAATTTTGATTACATCTTTTGACAATATTTTACATAAGGCATGTCTAGTCTTCAAAAATTTGTTTTTAATAATGTAATTGATAAAGTGTGTTGTTGCAAAGGAAGAACATTAGATAACACCAGGCATAAAATAAAGATAATTAGATAAGACGTTGTTTTTCATGCGTTTAGGATGTCGACTTAGATTAGCGGCTACAGGGGTCGAGGCGCGCTTTTAATCGAGTCCTTTCAACTGTTAAACCGACAGTAGTCAAGTACTGTAAGTACCGACAGTACTCAAGTACAAGCCTGACTACCATCCCATCTGATTATGAATTGAGTAATAGTAATTTTTCACGAGTCAAAAAAACATAAATTTCTCACAAAACGTACAAGTACCTATGTGTAAAGTTTGTGTAAAAGCCAATGAAATCATTTCTATATTTTGTTACATTATCCTATAACGAGTACATTGTGCGAACACTGTATTCGTACGGGCAGTATTACTTGTTTTAAAATCCTTAGTATATATTTCTGAAGTATGCATCTATTCCTTTCTTTCAATTATAGCGAAATTGCAACGGGAACTTAGCGACAAGTTGCAAGTTTATCTGTGACCTGGCGTAACATGTGGAGCGGAAACACACGGCTGCTCGGTTTCATTTTACTCGAGTTGATCGAATTATAATGATTCACGGTGACATCGCACACATCTTTTTCACTAGCTGGCAGATACTTGAAGAAGGAAAAAGATGTGATACGGGTTTAGCGTGCCTCTTCTTGTCACCATATTTTAGGGGACAGTCATTTAGCGTTGGGTCTTGTTAGCAAAAGAAAGATTATCATGTTCAGCGCTTAAGATCGTGATATCGATTTCAACGGGGGGCAAGTTTTTTTATGGCTCACGGACAATGGCTCTGGATGTGGGTATTTGTTCTCAAGGAGGGTTGAAATCATGCAGACAGCTAGTCGTAAAAAACCTGATAGCATTAACAATATGATTCACATATTGTACCAACTCATCTTGTTCGGGATAAGGCAGAAAGAAGAAGATATGTTCTTAAAAGCCTTCGAGTTACCACAAAACTTTTACATAGAACAGATTGGAAATATTTCAAGAAATTTGAATTATGTTACATAAACCTTTGGTCGGTAAACTTTGATTAATGATCTAGTATGATGACACTTAATAATTTAATAATAATAATTTAATAAAAATATTTAAAAATAATTTAATAATATTAAATAATAACAGAAGAAAAAAACAAGAAAAATGAAACCTAGTCTACGCGACATGGTGCCAAGAACGCTAGCTGCATTTCCTCGCTGAATTTATATTATAAAAGAAATTCATATTTAATTCTTGAGCGAGAAAAGTGCGGGACCCCTTATGACCACTGCAATAATAGTTCATAATGTAACAGTTGCAGAAAGTTTAAGCGGAATTTCCTTTCACAGTACTGAACGTGGCAGCTGGAAAAGCGCCAATGCAGATATCCACAGAAGGCGGTGGCGCCCCCCAGCGGGCACTGGATGGCAGCACTTCTGCTGTGTTTAACGCCGAGACCTGCACCCTAACGAAGTCTGAGCGAGTGCCGTGGTGGTACGTCAACCTACTGGAGCCCTACATGGTGCAACTCGTTAGGCTCGACTTCGGCAAGCCTTGCTGTGGTAAGTAAAATAAAAACGCACTTAAAAACTCATGTCGCCTATCGAAATGGGTCGTTTTAATCCATCGTAATAGTCTTCAAGATCTCGTGCTCCTCCTTCTAAAGTGATCAGTGTGAGCATGATGCCTGAGACGACTCTTACGTGCATTATCTATGAAATTAACTTTGAAAGATCTACCGCATACATGATTTTTATACACCCACTGCAAAACATAAAATCGTGACTGGAAATGAACAAAACACATTTAGTAAAGTGACCATTCCAAGAGCCATGCGTAACCGTATCAAATCAATGTATGTATTCCTCAATAGTGAAGCTGAACGTATACCGAGTTTGTAAGAAGTTCGTTGGCTCGTTACACTAGACCTGTTATCAGCATATCTTGATCACGATCAACCAGTCCTCCGCGGCCTACTTGCGCAGCGAAGCCCGCATTCGCTCGTCAGGTGTTAACTTACTAATTAACTACCAGGTATTGCTTGTCATCCAGCTAAAGTCGCCGTATTGCCTGGGCATAGCTACGGACTTAAACATGAACCATTTTATGTTTCCGCTTGGTTAAGGAACGGAATAATATATAATACAATATACGGTTTCGTTTTGCTCAAAAACACACACAAAGAACTGATTTGAGAACGCTCCTTCGATCTTAGGTTTCGTTCATTCGGCTTAAAATAAACATTTACACTTATTTTTTTACTCGAAAAATACTTTATCGTTTGAAAGTTTTGTAATTTTAATATCCAACTATTAACATTAAACGTTTGTGCTAGTTTCACGTAGGAAATCGCGTGTCGGTGCGCAGATCGATCACTATATTTTAATGCAATTATTAAGCCATTTACTCTTGTGTAAATGCGATGAATGACAAATGTGAAATTTGTATCATATTCCCGTTACACTTAGCCGCCGGTAACAGATCAAGTGTGTGTAATTATGTATGCAAATAAAGTTACTAAAATTTCGTATGGCAAGCGTTGTTTACTAATTGTTGTATTACACATTTTTTAAAATTCTTTTTTACTTCTGAAACAACAATTTAATTTTAAACTAACTAAATTGATGCATGTATTTATACATACATATACGTACACAAACACAACATTACTTATTAATAATGAACGCTTATTAGCAAACGTGATGGGGTATAGGTACCCTCATTTATATTTGGCCTATAAGATTCGCGACGATATAAATCATACTTTACAATTTAACCAGTGAACATTATTAGCTTTTATAAAAACATAACGAAGAATTTTTAGAACAATTCTACTCTTAACATTATGTAAAAAATCAATAAAAAATTTAAAAGAATTTATTAACTTCTAACTTTCAAAAAAGCTTTAGACGTTTAAAAAAAATTTACGATAAATCTTCTACAACTTGAAAGCATAAAATCAAATCACTGAAAAGTTGTAAGATATGAGATTGTAACAATAATTGTAATTTGTATGAGTGGTTTATGGATAAGCCTCACTGATTACGAACGACTCTCTGAGAGAGAAAGTGTCGGAAACAATCGCAGGACAACGAAAGTTGCTATCTCGTGAACGCTGCTTAATTCGCTGTTGCTGCATGTTCCGCAGTTATGGCTGCATTCTTATAATTTTTAGAGAAATGCACTGTACTGACTCAATATTATGAGACGTGTCCCGTAATTCACTGCGTTTGTTCATTTTAAGTACTAAATATTGGTATATTGTCGTGTCGGTTGAACTTGTTAATCGTTACATGAATTTGTTAATTTAGGATATAACATTATAAAATTATTATATTTACTCAATGATATTCATTTGCGTTGCTTACGTGTTCGACTTTAATTTCGGTAACTGTGAGCGTAACAAATGCAAAACATTCACACCTCTCTAACCATTGACTTAATGAATTTCCCCGTTACGTTATTTCCAAAGAATGCTTGGTTACCACAGCCGAATCTGTTGTGAGGGGCAATACTTGCAGGTGCGAACAAGCCAGCGGTGGTGGTGGTTCGAGTGGGGAACAGTCGGCCCGATCTGGGCACCAATCCGATATGCAACCGCTTCACGGGCTTCCTCGAGGAGGGGCAGCCGCTGTTCCTGCCCTGCAACCCGCCGATGCCCGGGGCGTTTGTCAGCGTCCACCTGGAAGGCGCGAGCCCGAGCCAGCTGTCCATATGCGAGGCTTTCGTGTATACCGACCAAGCGCTGCCGATAGAAAGGTGTCCGCAGTTCCGCGACCAGCCCCCGGGCAGCACCGCCACCTACAACGGCAAATGCTACATATTCTACGACCGGCAGCCATCCGACTTCAGGGACTCGCTGGCGTTCTGCCGCTCCAGAGGAGGAACGCTCGTCGACGAGAGCAACCCGGCCCTGCAAGGCTTCATAAGCTGGGAGCTATGGCGCAGGCACCGGTAAGTTTTTACTGTTGGACGCAATTACCACTTTCATATTTAACTTTCGTGCGTTTGCATTAATTTAAATAAATGATAATTATTATTGCGCAAGAACGGGTAACGTAACAAGGTATGGGTTGTCTTTGTGCAAGATTTATAATCAATTTATTTCTCATGGGATTTCTTAATAAAAATATTGTAGACATAACAATAGTATGAAATACAATGTATAGATAATATGCTTGCGAACTAAGAACACGCGTGTTTTATTACACGGCTGATGCGAAGTTGATGTTCGAATCAAACGGAGGAAGTGTTAATGTTAACTGCGATCGTGGCGAATGTCTCGACGCCTTGCGTAACGTCAAGATGATGATTGATGGTACGAAAAACCGAGTTATGCACTAGAGAATTAAGTCGTTAGGATTAACTGTTGCAAGGTTCGTTGATTTAAAATATAAATAATCCAATCAACTCGAGATTTTTACGTATCCGAATTAACCATTGCTACGGTAAATATTAAGAATTGTTTCCAACGCCGTTTATATGAAAAGCCAGAAGAGACCCTAACTTCTAATAATAATGCATAATGATTTCTCAGAAATTCTTGTACAAATCGATAAGCAAGTGGGATAAGTGAGACAATTGTACCGACGCAAAACAGTTACCCAATAATAGTGGCATAATATGTGTTCCCTCTTCGTCGAACGTTCCATTATAGATCCGCTACGTGTAGCCGACCGTTGTTATTTCAGACAATTTTATTGAGTGCCGCTCATTTCGCTCGTCTTCGCTTACTATTCATTCCGTTAGCGGGATAAGACTTCGTCACGGAACGGTATTATTGTACAATTCACTGTAACATTTAATGCCACAGTTTAATAAAAGCCTTATATATGTATATCAAATATTCAACTCAATTTTTTGCAACGGCGACAGAAATTATTGAAACTATCCGATATTTTATAAATTTTTCATTTTCTATCTTCTTTAACTAGATCTAAGACCGATGACATCTTTTCATTGTAAGGTAAATAACTAAATGAAATGTTTTTTTGTAATTAAATTTGTAGTAAGGTCGTATGAAATTTTTGTGACGTTTTTACGTAAGATTTTTATTGAAGGACTAGCTGACCCAGCAAAAGTTGTTTTGCTATATAAATTATTTGTAGGGAATTTGTGAATCTGAAGACACAGAAAAATAATTTTCGAAACGCACCCATAAAATGTTTGTTAATATTAGAAACATAAATATTAATAAATTTCACCATATGCAATTCAACAGAAGTGACAGTAGCAGTCAGTATTGGATGGGCGCCGTTCGAGATCCCCAGGATCCAAATAACTGGAAATGGGTGAACGGTAATGACGTCACCGTCTCCTTCTGGAACGCTCCGGGAGGTGGCGAAGGTTGTGCTCGATTCGATGGCAGTAAGGGGTGGCTATGGGCTGACACCGACTGCCAAGCAAGATTAAACTATATCTGCCAGCATCGTAAGTTCACTTCTTGTTTATGCGATGCGTTGTTTTTAGCCGACTCATAATTCGAATGTCACTAAAAGCTAAGCGATTGTTATCCTCGGTAATACGAAGCGAATATTTATTTTTTAGTGTTATATGCGAGCGTGTATTGCGAGCGGGTTAATCTTTAACTGTTAATACTTTTATGATTGTTTCGATATATGCAATCGTTCTTCGCAGAACCCAAGGCGTGCGGTAGACCGGAGCAGCCGCCCAATTCCACTATGACGACGGAGAGCTTCGAAGTCGGGGCACCAGTCGAGTATTCATGCGACGAGGGGCATCTCCTAGTTGGGCCAACCGTACGAACTTGTTTGGACACAGGATTTTATGACGAGTTCCCGCCAGTTTGCAAACGTGAGTTTTTTTAGGGAATCCATGTAGTATGTATGAAATAACGTTATTTTTGGTGTGTATAAGGTCCCTTGGTCTAGGGGCTGTTTTAATTCTAGAGAATTACAGCAAAACGTTTGTTGTTTCTTTGCACTGTGTCTAACAGCGAGCTTTGTCTTTAGGCAGTTTGTGTGTGAACTAATTATTTCTAATAAAGTTATTATAAAGATGAAACAAAAGCGTATATTGGACACTTCATTTTCATCAACATCATGATAAGAACACCGTGAGGCTTCAAACAGCACTAGATGTCTCTGTACACCCGTTGGGATCGATTAGTGAACGAAATAAACATGTCAGCACAATAGTACATCACTACTTGTATTGAGTGTAAGGTGCGCGTTGTAGGCATTGACTGCGGCTTACCTGCCGAGATCGCTCACGGCGGCTACGAACTGGTGAACGGTACGGCGTCCTATCTCTCGCACGTGCAGTACTTCTGCGAGGCTGGCTACGAGATGGCGGGGCGATCGCGGCTCGTGTGCGACATCGACGAGCGGTGGAACGGACCACCGCCGCGGTGCGAAGGTACACGCTATAATAATGTCTAGATGACGTTTAGGTGTTATAGATCTCAAATGTCATGTATAGTATTGATGCGCAGAAATGGAAGTCTTGACTACCATTTAATTCCAAACATCAATGTGATTTTCATTTATCAATACGCTCCAGCTAAACGATGTCCATAAAACTATATGAACATCCTCGACTCTGCTATCATTAAATTTTAAAATGCTCTGACATTATTTCGTGATCTTTGAGAATTCGATCCGACAACGGCCCGTGATCTCGCAATCTCCACCACAGATCGCTGGGCTGTTCCCATTTCGTTTAACTGTGGTAGGGCCACGTAACAGCCTTCACTGTTGCACGAATGGGCAGCTGCGTCCGGGCGAGTACCACGACCTCACAGAAGACCGGCATGTCCATGGGCGGCGGTTGACACTTAACATCGGATGTAACGCCTCGTTCGCCTCGTTAACACATAAAAAACCGCGTCTCGCTTGGCAGCGATCCAGTGCGAGCCGCCGGCCCCGATCTCGAACGGCCGCGTGCTGGTGGCCAACAACGCGTCCATCTTCGGCGCTATTGCGGAATACGAGTGCTCGCGGGGCCACCGTCTGTCGGGCGCCCGCCGCCGCGGCTGCCTCGCAACCGGCCTGTGGGAACAGCCCCCGCCGCACTGCATACGTACGTCGAACCGCGGCCCTGTTATTATTTGACCTCACCGAGCACGGAATAACGCGTAACCAGCAACTGAACGTCATAGAACTCGTAGAACAGTGTCCGTTCGCGAATTTGCTTTAATGTAACGATAGAACAATGTTCCACATACAAAGCTAACAAACATAAACCGTGCTTGGACGTGTTTCAATGCAACATAGCTGTGTACATATCGCGCAATTACTTAGATGAAACCAAAAGTCCATTAAAGATCCACTTCTAAAGTCCATTGAAGGTCCACTTTTTAAATCTTAAACGGCGTAGATTGATTCGCTGCATATACGCTTTTACATATTTCTCAGGAAAATTCACTTGCAAAACATTTGAAATGATGAACATTTTATTAAAAAAAGAAAAAAAACTGCAACAAAACAACAACATTAAAAATATAGTTTTGGTTTGAACCAATTTTGCATGTGAGTTAATCTGAATTATTCGTTATATGCAGTTCCAGAAATAGAGTATTAATAATGAGGTCATAAGTCTACGAAGGTCTTATATTAACATATAAAGGATATGAAAGGATAACAATATAAATCCTATAAAAAGGACTCCTTCGAGATTTCTAATACAATTAAATAAAAACAATGTAAAAACAAAACGTAGCACGACTAAATAAAGTAGTATTTCTGCCCTTCCAAATACCAAACACCGGAACATTCTAACGAATTAGCTCGTGTTTACCCTTCATGGACAAAAATATCATACATTTCGTTCAATAGCTGAAGAACATCCGACCACTACAACGACGACCACCACCACCACGACCACGACCACTACTCCACCGCCCACCACAACATCCATCCCATTGACGACACCGGCAACAACGCCCCGCTTGGTGCTTCCATCGCGTTCTCGGCCAACGCTTCGACCGACGTCGCCTGCGCCCTTCGCGCCGCCAGACAGCTCTCGCAGACCACGCCCGAAGAGCACGACCACGGAGACGCCGACCACCAGGTCGTACGAGAAACCGCCACCCCGAAAGGTCACCGTCGCGGACTCGCAAGACTCGTCCACCAACCACGTCCCCCACATCATAGTCGCCAATCACCCGAGAGAAAATCAAGTGAGCATATAAGTAATTTATTCATTACTAGCGACCCGCCCCGGCTTCGCACGGGTGCAATGTATTATACATATAAACCTTCCTCTTTAATCATTCTATCTAGTAAAAAAAACAGCATCAAGATCCATTGCGTAGTTTTAAAGATCTAAAATTCAGAGACTGTTTTATTCTATGTAGTCAACAAAAGCTGTTGCATAGCTCAAAAAAATCCATAAATAGAACTGTTTAAGGCTGCAACTGTTATTCACATGAAAACTGTGAAAACTGTGAAAATGAAAAACCTAGACTAGTATCGGATAGACAGACCGGTATTGTTAGGAAATAGCCAATGTAAAGTAAACATAGACAGTCTCAGCGTCGGTACATGGCCTAATCCGTTCAAGATCCTGGGCAGCGGGAACAACATTCGCGCCGAGCAGACCCCGCGCGTCAACGTACCTCAGCCGGTGGACGGAGAAAGGAGGGAGGGCGCCCGCCTTAACCTGGGCGCTGTGGTCGCCCTGGGGGCATTCGGCGCTCTGGTATTCCTCGTCGCCATTATCACAACCATAGTGATCTTGGTCCGAAGGTGAGAGTAGAGAGTATTTAACGCGTAAATGGACATCGATTCACCTCAGTCGATTTTCGTTAGCGTATCAATTCAGTCAATGTATGCTAGGAATGTAATCTTCATTTACCAAGCGTGTAGTCTAAACGTTTAGAAGTATAATGTCAGTAGGTCTTTGTCGTCAATTGCAATGGACAAATCAGCGAGCACATTAAACTTAATATTGAACGAAAATTAACCCGCTATTAGTCTCCACCAGAGCTCAGATATACGCAACATTAGCGTTATTCTTTTTATAATTTTCTCACTAAGGAATGTTGGTTTCGTTGAAATTGGTCATTATTGATGTTAGTAACAATAAATATGTTTTTTTTTATATTCTATTTACATAAAAATAATCATCAATTCCGATTTGAATTTTATTTAATTATTAAATGCGATCAAAGTTTTAGTACTGTCAACTGTTTCAAGGGATTCTTATTTTTTTTACAACCTTAAGATGTATAAAATATGCGGTAAATAATGATATTATATACAAATACAAGTCGGCAGTATAAATAGTTTGAATATAGGGAATTTTTTATCATATTTTAACAATCAAAGCAAACCAAAATTAATATAAGTAATATGTTTGTGAAAGAAAAATGGATATTCTGATTTTAACGATAAAAAACACGCACTTATTCTTCATAAATCCTTAATATATGCCTTCACATTATATTTATGCAAATGATAAATAATAATCAGTGATAAAACCTATCACTGATTATTATTTTGTTTAACAACTTCCGATAGTTAAAGCTTTTATGACACGGTTTGTTCACTTTCTGAGATATGGTCTAACAATTTACTTTCTGACCACAACATTTATAGTTTAATGCATCGTATTGGAAAATTGATTTTCTCTTAATTGCTGAAGAGTTATTTATCATGATGAAAGTACCTTAAAATATGACCACATTTTTTGTGTCTTCATTATTTTCTTTACAAAATTCCAAGTAAGGCTTTTGGCGCAATTATGAATGAAGTCTATAAGGCTTGGAAAATTTTTAACTTGTAACAGGAAAAATAAATTTAGTTGTTATCACTTTTGTTTAAACTTAATTGCAAGTGAGAGCTCAACAAGATGATTCGAGTTTAAATCATAAAAGGAAAGGAAATTATAAAAGGGGAAAAGAAGGATGAAAATTAATGATGTGATAGCGAATGAGGAATTCGCCAAGGGTCTCCACAGGTGAACGTGTTCCGACTATAGTAGCCATGTAAGGGTGCAGGTTGTTATGAATGAATACAGAAGTGGCGAAGGGTATATGTAGGGTCCGCGGGAAAGCGCCGAAACGTAATATCCTGCATTCGTCATGCGTCCGGTCTGCTGCAGCGCTATTACGTGGTATACGTTTAGGATCTAAAAGAGACCCGCCCGCCCCTACTGGGCGACTGGCTCGAGTGATTACTAGCATCCGACGTTTGCGTACCACTATCCGACGCATGCGGTGCAACTTAGACTTGACAACGGACGCTATTAACGTCAGTGGCGGTCCGAAGCGACCACCGGCGGCCGTCCGCGAGCTCCCCCCCCGATGGTACACGCTGCTGGCCCTCCCATTCCCGGACCAGCAGGTCGGCAGGCGGGAGATCGCCCGCGCCCACCGGCACGCACACCGCGCCGGCCACTTCTCCAACCCGTTATAGCGAGTGCGTTTATATTTTAAGGTACCACACGAGGCTCACGTGGTGGCTGAATGTAGATGTCTGTAAATGTCCACAGTAGCACCATCACGAGATGGGGTTGATATGTTTGAGACCTTTAACGGAATACCACCAGAAACGCGAGCGGTTTCGTGTATGACGAAATTTCGCACATTATTACGCGTGTTGCAAGCCATCCAATATGTGTGTTCTATTATCTTTTCTTATAATTTATAAGTAGCAATTTAAAATAATTTTAAAGAATAAAATCAGACAATACATTTAAATGGAACACATGGACCATCGTTACTCTATTTCAATGAAGGAATTTAATAATTAAAAGTTACGTTCATTTAAAGCAGCCACCATGTTACCTTACTCCACACGCGCACTAGCACTCAATTTTTAATGGAAACCTTGAAACAAATGGCAAATTTAAAGCACCGAGTAGCACCTCGTTACCTACGATAATCACCTTAAAATATAATTTGCACGAGCTGCATATCACAAAACGCTAAAATAGAAACCGACTCAAGCAGACCTAGGATGTACATAATAAGCACGATCCAAGCACGAACAGTAATATTATTAAACTGTCAATACTCAAAAAGGATTGCACGTTACAAAGTATGAGCATTTCACGAAGCTCATCGGCAGCAACGTCGGGCGAAGTTTTAAACGAATCCAATATCAGCAGGAAACATAACAACGGGAAGGGGTACAGGCACCACGTGTCGCCGGACTGCAACACCGTGGCCTCCCTGGACTCGTCGTCGTCGGAGTCACGCAGCGGCCTGAACAGATACTACCGGCAGGCCTGGGAGGAGCTGCACGAGGCGGCTGGTGCGAAACACGGCCACAGGAGGCACGAAAGGGAGGCCCCCAAGGACGGATCCGAGCTCGTGGTGTCCGATGTGTATCCGGCACCCCACGTCAGGGACAAGAGGCGACACCACCACCACCACCATCGCGAGCCGAGACATTCTGACTGGCATCCGTCGCACCGTCCCCACCACAATCACAAACCCAGATATTAGGATAGAATATTTATTTTGAAGTGAATGCCACGTGCGCGCACATAACCGAAAGTGTATTAAGATATATTAGGACTTAAATCTATTCTTATGATTGTAAGAATCAATAAACTTTAACTTATTTATTTGTTTAAGGACATTTACAAAGTTTGAACTGAAGTAATGAATTTACCAGTGTATCGCTTATTTTCTAATATGGTATATTCCCTTATGTAAATTAAATAGATTTTCTATAAGGTAAGTTAAGGTTTTTAAACTACGCTAGGCGAAATGAGCCAATTTCACGATTACTACAGTATTGTATTTATACTTATGCTGTTCAGCTATGATTACCTTGATCTTTTCTTATAATTTTATAATTCATACAATTTCTAATAAATGTTAGTACATAAATATTTATTACTCTCTTTTTTAATAAAAAAAAGCTATAGAAGTGTATATAATTTTAGTTGTGGGTAAGATTAGATTGAAGTTAATCATTGTCAGTACTCTAACTTTCCTGGCCAGCCTAATATTTACGATATAAGAAGTATAAATTGGTATTTATTAGCATAATGATATGTTTATTTACAAGAATTTCGAAACGAGTTCTTAAGAAGAGAGTGTATTTTTCAGTTTTAGTTGTCTGGTGAAAAAATAATTCCAAATATTTTTCAAATATCATTGTCGGTTAATCTGAAAAAAAAATGATTTAAAGAAATGAACGATACAAAATTTTTCATAATAAAGTAATTAAAAAATAGTTTTTATAAGACTAGTAACTAAAACGTTGCTATTACACGTCTGCATTTATACATATTATGTACATATCCATGTACTTGATAAAAGTTTTATTTAAAAACTATTTTATATTAAAAAAAAGTTAGAAAGGCAACGAAATGGTACAAAATAATCATTTAATTTTATTTACGAAATATGCATAATAAATTTGCAGTAATTATAATCTAATTAACAAATTATTATCAAATATAAAACACAAATTGCAAGAAAACTTCGTGAAAATGTGCCATTTGACAGGCAGTTGCAAATAACAATAATACCTTTTGTTTTTTTATGCGTAATGTAAATTATAAAGGTTTTTCGTCATAAGTTCAAAGTTTCGTACCTACTACAAAATAGACACACACACAACGTAAACTGATAACTGTTTATTTAAAAATGTTAAAATACATTTTTATTACCAAGAAGTTCTTCTAATACGTTATTACTGATCTGATATCATGTGTGAGTATTATCTGGATACATGTTTTAAAAATATATATTGTGATAATATCAAAAAAGTGTTTTATTTCAGATTTTCTACGTTTCTCAGTATTTCCTTTTATAAATGCTTTTTTATGAAGGGTAAGAGACATAGGGTTTGCAAAAGCGCTTTTAGGCTGTAATATTAGAGCCACATAAGCTACTACAGATACAGACAGTAGCTATACTGTTCATGCATGAATATGCATCAGTCAGTGAGCGTTTGCTAGCTACTCAAAAAAAACTAACTACAAAAAAAATCGAACGCCTATTTAAGCTAAGCGGCCGATGACCTCACGGCGCTGAAATTTCGATATTCTATCTACGTTCTTTAAACTGTTTTCAAATTTGTAACCCCTTAATTTCTCAATGTAATTAAACATCAGTGACGACCCTAGCCTTTGATAAGGGTAAAGGCAGATTGTCTTGCAGCACCCTTTAATCCTTGCTTATGTTATTACCTTATGTTATTAAAGTTTGGCTTTACGTTAAATAAAAAAAACAATTCATTGCAAACATAAAGACTTGAATTTTAATTAAATCAAATAGCTAAAGATATTATACGCTTACTTCTTTAACATCGAGAAGGTTTTTTCTGCTACGTAATAAAATTGAAATTTTGTGTTAATTGTTAATTAGTCGCTCAAAAATAATCCGTTACCTATGTACTTTGTATTAACTAATTGAAGAAAAACATATTCTCACATTTTTTACATTGATGTACATTCAAATAAAGATTAGTAGCTCTAATTACACTCCTGCTTCTTCAACATTAACAACGCTTCTACCAATATACTCGTAGTTAAATCTGTTGTATTTTCATCAGTCACTAAATAATAAAATCTGCTTCCTAGTAAACTGAAACTGCCCGCGTCTAACAAAAGGCGCCATAAAGGTCTTAGGTATTGTGAAAACTATTTTTGAATTTGATTTTAGCGCGTTTTAGATACGATCTGTCCTTAGGATAGTGCTTATGAACATACATAGAATAAATGAATCTTTAATCATTTTAAGGTAAAACAGGAAAATCTCAAAAGGGCTCATTTTGCAAACAATAGACGTAAAATACTTTGAAAGAAGAAATAAATATTTCATGTATAAGCACAATCTGAACCTTATGTGTATGACCATAACTTATCTCATAAAGAGACACCGTGCGACTGCGTTCAACGTTAGAGTTCGATCGACGTAGTAATACTTACTTTGAAGGGCTAGTATACTTTCAAGCCTTGCAAGTATACCGGGTCGGTACCTGGTTGGTATACTTGCAAGGAAATACCTGGTATCAATACCGGGTAACGTAAATACGCACCATCTCTACAATAGGGACATGACAGGAAAAAAATTAAGAAATCCAGTTCAATAAATATTACTTTTATTGATTCGTCTATGCATACAAAAAGGTTTACTGCTTTAATTTGTGAATTGTATAGTATTATTTTTTCTAATACAACAACCGATAAGGTAACGCACCGCTAAGTCATGCACAGAGATCTATCTTATTTTCATAATCTGTTAACATTATTAAAAGCATAAACTCAACTACAATATCGGCTCATCCATATTAATCACGTGCATTTTATCAATAGGTGTAACATAAATCCATGGAAATCTATGATGATAACAAAGTGGCGAAAAAACAGGGAATGAAAACATTTCACTAAGATACCTGCTTATCTTAAAGTGATTTTGGTGCTTCTGCGTTAAAAAGTTAAAATAAAATTTATCCACCACTTTGTTAATGTGTATATAGTCTATTTAAAACAATCGGTACGAGCCTTCAGATAATTATCCTAATTAATTGTTCATGTAAGTAGACAAAACTTGGGCATTATTCAAAGCAATGTAGGAATATCTATTGGAAAATGCTACAATACATAAAGCACAACATATTTGTTAAACGTCTTCATTTAACTATTAGTATTTATTCGTCCTCTAAGCTCCAAAAGTATATGACAGTACACAATTTGAACCTATATTATTCGTCAGGTATTTCATAGAAGCATAAATTGGGAGGTGATTAAAGCGTCTTAAATTTGTTTAAAATCTTACTGCTATGTTGTTATTGAAAAACATAGAACACATATGCCGCATATATGTTCATTTTTAGATTATACACAGAAGTCAATTGAAATTGTTATTCGTGTTTGCTGCCTGTTTACAACATTAGTATTTTTCTTTTACCTTATACTACTATTAAAAACATATAATTATTATATACGAAAATTGTGATAAAAATAATGCGTTACATTGTATAATAATTGTGATAGAATTAATCTTACTACGTTGTGTTATCAACGACTGTACAAAAAAAGCATTTCTTCCACAAAACACAATTTGAACCATAGAAAAATGAAAAAGCAATGCCAGACTTTTATATTAAAAATCGCCACTTCGAAAGCTTAACGTTGTGAAAATGGCAACTTTGAAAGCTTTAACACACATTGTTATTTCTTTGGCGTAAAATTCAAAAGCATATTCTGTACATACAATTTATAAATACAATATATGCACAACATTGTAATGGCGACTACTCTACTATAAATCAAAGAATCTTTGAACACAATCCTCAGGTCAATATTATTGTATTAGGCGATACAATACCATCCAGTAACGATTAGTAAGCATAAATAAAATAATTTGTTTTAGTGTGTAATACTTTTTTCATTTAAAACTATTTCATAATTTCTTTATAATCAGGACATTTCTTTTAATATATAATTTTAAAGCGCGTATATTCAAACATTAACGTCATTCAGTAGAACTATATTTCAAATATAATCTTTTATTATTAAAATAAATTATAAAATTTTGTGGACAAAATCGATAAGCATATATATATAAATATGCGTGTTTCAGATACAATCAAATAAGCGTTCGCGTAGAAAAATATATGATAATTTACATTTACATCCTAACATCTAACTCATATAATACACAATTTGTATACAAGAAGCATTCGTGCAAGCATCAAATGAAAATCTTACTGGGGTGAAATTTAGCTCTTTTTACTGCGTCTACTAATGAATATATATAAAGAGCTAAATTTTTGGATTCTGGTGAGCGACGATCACGATTCGTTTCACGACGACGAATCCTATTTGTATCATATAGACACTTTTCTCAGAGCATGAACAGCATTAGATACATGATTTTAAATATTTATTTGTTATATTTCCAAGTCTCAACAAATCGAGAAACTCGAGAAAATATTCATCGACAAGTAAAAGGTAATTTAAACGTCCCGCATCAGAAACATTCGTTTAGAGCGCATTGATATAAACATTTAATGCACTTTATCTTAATCATTTGTGTTAGTGGAAATGACCAGCGCTGAGGAGTTTCTTACCGAGTCTTCTCTGGTCAGATCCTGTTCTTTTATACAGGTAATAGTTTTTTGACTTCCAATAAAGAGTAAAGCCTATATGAATAAAGAAATTTTGACTTAAAATGCGAATGTGAACTACATTGATTAATTATTATTATTAATTACACATGAAGTATTCAGTTTTATACACACATTTTGGCATATCTAGCAAGCAATTACTAAATTTTTATCCACTCTTTGCCTTCTTATAGGAGTTTGACTTGACAACTGTTGCAGAGATTCGCTATCACGGTGGTCAAGTTAAACAATGAAAAGATATCTTAGAAGATGAGAGAGAGATATGACACGATAGGTGATAAGTCGAGCCCATACAATTGTATATGACCGAAAACTTTAATATAGTTTTAAATATAAAAATATAATTTTTGAAACGGTAAAGTGGTCAGTGAAAAACTTAATGTGTCATTTTTTAGTGACCAACTCGATCAATCGGTTACTGGAGATCGAATTTTGACGTAAGTATCATGGAGCTAATGTCAAATAATTATCGCTAGTTACCATATCAATCTGTAGATAGAATATTGAAACCGGCCGTAAGATGATAATTTTAGAATTCTAGAAATGAAGCTGAAATAAGTTTGTTTCGAACCTTTTCAAATGGTACAAAAATAAATTACGCCAAATTATACCGGATAGAGACATCATGTTAGTAAACATTTCAAACAAACATAACACTAGTCATATGTATCAAGTAATGATTCTGTTGAATCAATAAAATCAATCGAAAAAGTATGTAGAAACCGAAAACCTTTCTTTATATATTATTGCATGACGTTGCCATACAAAATAAAAAAAATATGGTAAACATATTATATAAAATGACAACGATTAAATTTACATCGAACGGCTTCCAATTTGCCCTTACAAAAGAAGTAATACTCTTTCCAAGTCAAACACTAAAAACATATAAAAAGTTGAGATCAATGATATTTTATATTACAGATATGCTATACGCATACAAAATCACCGGTCGAATGTGTTCCTATTTCCAAACTGATACACAAAACACATTCAAACGTTTCGTTCGAATGGTCTAAAAAGGATAGCGTAAATAAAGCTATAAAAAAAGAGGACGGCAAGTGTTTGTCACTTTAGCTTTAAATCTCGAGGTGCATCCGTCTTTCTTGTTCCCATATTAATCATATTTGCTTGTTGTTACACGTTAACAACGCTAATATCTGTGGTATAAAACATCATCGGTTTTAATTCAATAGCAAATATTTTTATATTACTCGGTGATAAATATCGGACACTACCCACGTGGCGTTAACCGGCCGTGGTATAACTGTGCGACAGAGATAGCGCTCTATGAAGTCGAAATCAGCCGACTCTTTCCAATTCGATGTGCAATATTTATCGCCGTTGCCAAATACTGTACAAGTGTGAAAGTTCCTCGTCATCTCGTATTGCTTATTAAACGTTCAAAATCTACAAGCGTAAATGCCCAATCTTCATGGCCTGTGATCACCGTAAATTCTTAAAAACGAAACCCAAATAAAATATAATACAATGCAAATTATCGGGTAAGTAGCGAACAGTTTATGCAATCGGATAGCGTCGTTTTTCGGGCCGAATGTTCCGGATTGATTCGTCGCTTCTAAATATTTATTAAGGATCAATAAACATTAGAGTACTACTAGCATTGAAAGCTAAACAAGGCCCAGCGGCCGAAAACGTCAAGCCTCGAGATTGTGATTTATGACCACATCGACTTCGTCGTCTCAGTTAACCCCTAGACGCCTCCACCGGACGCGCTTCGCCTCCTGAAAACGGTACGGTGTTTAATGGCTTATTTAAATTTGAAAAACCTTTTCATGCGAAATACTGTTCATTTTTTCAATAACAAGAATTAGCTGTGCACCAGGGCAGGTGTATTGAAGAACAATTTGCGTACAAAAAAAAAAACAATTAAATTAATCATTTCCTTAGACAAGGAAAGTTTTAAAAGCTATGTACGGCTGAAAACTATACTTTAAAAATACAGGAACATCGGAATGGTAGGTATAAGGCTCTGGGTATTGGAAGATGAAACGAAAAATTACGTAATAAAGAGCTATAAATATTTTGTATTGTATTGTATTGTAAATATCATCCTTTTTTCTTTATTTTTTTTTAAAACATTGCCCTTACTTTATGCTAACATCCTGTGTTGTAAGGACGTTTTACAAACATAAATTACACGCGGACAAACACCCAGATGCGAAGCAACTACCTGTGGGTCACACAAATAGTTTTCCCGTGTGGGGATCGAACCCACGACTCCCGATGCCTTGGCAACGGCGCCATGGAGTCATCGAATACATACATATGTTATATTTGCAATATATTATTAATATATCACACAAAATACATATGTTTATACAAATACCTGTCTGCCGCCATCAGGGCTTGGTGTGCCTCGCGCTGCGCTGACACCTGTACGAGCTCGGCTACTGTGGCCGCCTGCTGCTCCGCTGAACGAATTATTTATAATTAGCCACGACAAAAGTGATCAAAGAAATTTTAAATTTAATGACTTATCTACTACTGCCTTTCCCAACCGACGTTCCACTGAGACAATTTCACTCAGCGCAAGTTAGTTTGTCGATGCCCGTACAATCTTCTTTAGGCGTGTATATTTATAATCATGCAATTTAAATTATTTAAGTGCAATAACAGCAATTCATGAAAAGCGACGTATCAAATCGTTAGTTGACGAATGGTATACCATATTAGAAACGCGAAACGGTCATACGGATCAGACCAAGAGACGCGTCGCAAAGTATTTGATATAGTAAGGATTAAAATTGAGACAGCCCGCTGTTTATTTCGCCATGTGCCGATTTGAATATGGAACGGTGAATGGTGACGCGGTTACCAGAGAGCGGCCTGCTCAGGCGGCGCTCGAGCCGCGCAAGCCTCCTGGCGCTCGGCTCGGCTTGGGCGTCGAAGCGCAGCGACTGGTGGCGGACTGGCTCGCGGCCTCGCGGCTGGCGGGCTGGCTCCGTTCGGGCTGGCTCGGGGCGGGCTGGCTCGTGGCGGCACGACTCGCGGGCTCGCCTCTGAGCCACCAGCCGAGCCCACCGCGCCTCGAACCACAGCTGCATCGCGTCGCGCTCGTCAACGTCCACGGCGCCTGGGTTAGTGGGCGACGGCGGGCGGGTTCAGTTTGTTAGGCGACGGCGTTATGGGACAAGCGTTAATATTTACGTGACACGCGAATTACTTAATTCATGCAAGTCACGCAAATCGGCAAACTAACATTTGGTCAACATAGATTAGATGTATAGCCAATGTGACGCAAAGACGTTTGGTTTTTTTATTTGTATGTGGATGATGTTTTATCGATGGACTTGTTACTTTTTTCTATCACGAAACCAAGTTAGCGTGTTGACGAGCTATTAGTATGGGCCATTCAGATTATCGTAATCGTGTGCCAGCACTGACCTGGTAACCTTCTGCAAGAGGAGTGCGTTTCTGCTGGCGGAGAGTAGCAAGCGGGGGGCGGGGGTACGGGCGGTGCCTCTTGGAGCGCCCCCGTTGACTTGTGAGCGGCGTTACGTGTCGAATGTTGATTTTCTTGCTACAAACAAAAACTACTATTACTATACATATTACTCCAAAGAAATTTAATTTTTTTATGGGGATAAGACGTGTTAATAAGGTGGAAATGGTAAAATAAACACTTCTTATGCGAAACTTATTCGTCACTGCGTTTTCTTAATTACGCTCTATATTACCGCAACGGGACTTTAACTATTAATTTTATTGTAAAACTTAATAAAGTTGTAAATTGAAACATTTCATTAACTTCATGTGGATCAAATTTAACCAAGCAAAATAGTGGCTTATTCCTTAAATAAACTAACATTCGTTAGAAGAAACAAAAAATACGTTCGGCCTAGTAACATTTGTAATCATTGCTAATAACAATAAAATAAAATATGCCACTTACTTAAAAAAAAAAGCAAAACACGTCTGCATTTACCGCATCAAAGCCATCCCAACATGCATACTATAGCGGCAGCATACTCATCAGATAAAAATACAGACCAATAAACAGAAGCCCACGTAGAATATAGTATATTCGGACATTCTTCTAGCAGAAGAGAGTGCTATGAACGATATAACTAAAAAAATCTCGACGTTGTATCTCATTGTGTGATTTTATAAATTAAAACGTAACATCTCACAATTATGAGGCGCATCGTCGAGCTGAGACGGAATGCAAAAGCGACGGAGAACCGTGTCTGAGCGAGACAACGTACAATTAGCAGATGATTGGTGCGAGAGAGATGGGTACAGCATGCGACTCACGAGTTCACGATACTGTATTTGATATGCTTTGCTTACGTGCGTCGTCAGGTCCGGCTCCGAGACCCACTGAAAATTCAACTAGTGTTAGTCTACTCGGGGTGTATATGATAATGTAAATTTTCATATTATTCGTGCCAAAAAACTTTGTTATCCCCCTCCGTGGCAAAATTTCGTCCGCCAAATTATGGACACCCGATTTCCTCAATTTATTTTGTACAAGCCTCCTCCATTAATCTACCTAAGAACTTTTCTTTCGTATATACAATATTCACAATACATTTTAGTGAATGAGAAATGTTATGGATTTGCACAAATAAATATAATTCGTAAAACAAACGATGCGGTGCTTCCGAGTTACGTTGTTCAGTTATGTGTAACGAATTTAATGTCCAGCACAAATTAAAGTGTTTTCAAATAAAAATTACGGGGTAGAAAAGACGTTTGGAAATTACCTTGTGACGAGGTCCAAGACGCCTGTTCAAATAATTGGATATGCTCTTCATGATACCTTTCCCCCTCCTGTCTCTAGCTAGCTCCGGATCAGAAAACGATGGTGTGACAGGCAGGGAAATTTGGGGAAGAGTTGGTCTCGGGGGCGGCGAGGAATAGGTGGGCGGGGGCGGCGGCGGCGGCGGTGGTGGTGGTGGCGCTGGCAAAACGGGGGGTGGGGGGATCGGTGGTGGGATATTGGCGGCCGGCGAAAGCCTAGCCCTGCGGGTCGACTTCCTCTCAGGCCGGTGCCCGCCTCCGAGCCTCTCCAACACCAGCCTCCTGACCACCTCAGTCTGCTCCTCCCTCTCCCGTTTGATCTCCTGCACTTTGACGTTCATGTCCCGCATGGGCGCCGGGCTGACGGGCGACATCGAGCCGGAGCTCAGATTGATCGACATGGACAACTCCATGCTGCGCGAGGGCGAATCGGTGCTCCGCGAGCTCGATCTGTTGAACGTTTCGCTGGCCGAGCGGCATATCGCCGGCGAGTACAACCTTATAGTGCCCGGCGACGCAAACGAAATGGGCGTCGTAATGCTGCTGTACGTGATGTCACGGGAAACACTCGTCTCCTGGGCCAAGGGCGGTGAGACGTCCTCTTCAGAAACATCACTTTTTACGGCGGGCGTTTCGATTGTAACTTTATAATCGGCCCTCTCCAATGGTGGCGATGTTTCTGAAAGGCCGACTGATTCCTTTTTAATTTGAGCCGGCGACAATTCTTTGATGGTACCGAAGCTACTTTCTCCGGAATCTTTTTCATTATGCTTTGCTAATTTCGGTTGTAGTTCATCAATACTGGATTTCATTTGCTTGTTTTCATTTCCACTTTCGGAAGATTTCAAGTTAGGCTCAATTTTTGGTGGACTGTCATCAAACGAGTCATCTTTATCGATAAATTCGATTGCATCAGAGGTATTGTTAACCAATTTTTCTCTGCTAATATTAAGATTTATGGGCTTCACTAAGGTCTCTGAGAAACTTCTTTCAATAAAATTCATCGATCGATCATTACTAGGGCAATACGAATCCAAGTCTTCATCAACGAATTCCATGAAGCCCTCATTACGGGGCGTGATTGGAGTGCCTATGGATGGATCCTGATCACCCTCATCGACAAACTCAAAGTGTTCAAGGGCGTTTGAATACACAATCGGTTCTAAGGGGCTGGTTCTGCCACAAACGTGTGAAGCAATTGCCGATATATTTTTCGCGTCGTGCACTGATTTCGGACCACTCAATGTGGTCTTGGGTTCTTATTTCTCTTCTTTTCTTCCTTTTCATCTAGACCACATTCATCCAATACCGCGCTTTCTGCCGCCCAATCGGACAACTCCGTTTCGGTCAAAGCAAGTGTAGTTGCGTCACGGCACGATTCGGAAGATTCCGATTCGGCAGCAGCGATAATCGTAGGGCCAGTCGACGTGGCGGTTCCTGATACTTTTTCGTCGTAATCCTCTGTACCGCTATTAACGAGCGTTAAGCTATCCAGTTGTATCAGTTCTCCACCTTCGTCATGTACTTCAACCCTTGGCACAGATTGGTTCGGCGCAGTGTCCGTATGAGATGAATCGTCGTCGGAGAGCGAGTCCGATTCCAAATCCGCTTCCTTCTTCTCTTCTTCGATCGGCTCCCTCCAATCGCTCTTGCGTAGCGGCGAATCGACTTTTGTAAGTAGATCGACCGGCGCGTCGGCGCACAAGTTCTTTATAATGTCCGGCATCGGTTGCACTTTGTCCCGTTGCGAGTCCTCGGCGAGCTGGAAGGTGACGACCGGTTTCTGCTGCGCGGTCTTCGCCGGCGCGGTGGCCGGATGGAGCATCTTCTGGAACTCCGTGATGTTCGAGCGGAACGCTTCCAGTTTCGTGTCCAGCTGCGAAGTGGAGTCGGACTTTCTCACGGCCGGCGGGGACGGTTCGCCTAGCAGGTACCTCCTTTTCAATTCCAACGCTCGCTTGGTGGCCAGCCCGCCCGCCGAGCGCGTTCTGCTCAAGGGGTACTCCTGCGGGGGCGGCGGCGCTGGCGGCGGCGCCTCCGTCACCAGGATAGCGGGCGGGGACGGTGCCGGTGCGCACTCCTCGCGAGCGAACTCACTGTCAGTAGACACCTCCGTCGCCGATGACACCTCCTCGTCGCTCGACTCGCTCTCATCCTCAGACTCCACCTGGTATTAATTGATTGTCAATCGTTGATTTCTACTTACTACATTGACGTGTTGTTGATCAACAACAGACTCGTGTTTAACCTAATGACTAAATCCAACTGGAAGATAACTTTATCTGCTTTTCTCGTAAAGTGAGTTTTGAAACCATATGTATCAAAATGGAGCAGAAGGCGTCGACAATATATAATTGTATTCAAAAAAGAACGGACCTTATGTCCTCTTTTTAAAATTTGTATTCTTGAAAGTTTGACAACAAGCAATTTTAATGTGTATTATCTATAGCGATATCAAATCTAGTAATTTCCTTGAGGTTATGCCATTATTAAATTCTGGTCTGTGTCAAAGTAAGAATTACGTAACAGAACGTAGTACGTAACACTCATGAAACTTATTAGCCATTCACAAAATATAAACCTAGACAGGTTTAGAAGTAGACACTTCTCGTTTCGATTCTGAATAACTTTGGAATTATGATTTAGTAAGACTGAAAAGGCTCTAGATAAATATTTTGTTAACTGCATGTAATTATATAATAATAAAAAAAAAGTATTATTTGATGCTCAAACAAAATAGTAGGGAGATAAGTGATCCTTCTCACACTAACTCACCGTCTCAGATGCCTAAATCACCACATATGCACAAATGGGATGATTTTGGGTAGAAAACAAAATAAAATTAATAAAGAATTATTAAAACATGACATTACACCAAACACAAACAACAGAAATATATACACAATGTTACATATATATATATATACATACATAAATACACACAAATATTATTAGAGAATTCAGGAGTATTGAATGCATGGAAATTATGATTTAGGAAAGCTTGTCTTGAAGAGCCTAGACTGCAAAAGCCTTAGTTCATGTGTCTGAATGTGAGGGATGCAAAAGAAGTGAATGTGGAATGTGAGCAGGAAATCCATAATCTGAGTTCTGTAGGTAGTAGAAATGTGTATATGTGTATGGTGTAGGAACAATATACAAATAACACTACGCAACACTAAAACGTTATACGAATTTCGGAACGTATGATATATAAAAAGTAAAAGTAACAGCCTATACATGTCCCACAGCTGGGCAAAGGCCTCCTCTATACAGAGCGTATCAGGGCGTAGTCCACCACGCGGCCCCACTGATATATCTGTATTGCTATGAATTTAGAAATTAAGTGAAAATACATAATGCTTGCTTTTCACATGGACTTTTGACTTTTAGATTTATATGTATCATAATTATAAACTGTTAACTAATAGAGTTTTGTTGCGTTGTCTTATTTTAAAACTGTACACTAATAAAGATCGGGTGGACAATGTCTTAAATATAAAATTCATTACTTTTAAATAAGAATGTATGAATGTATCTAATTGAGTTCAAAATATATGTTGTGAATTATATTCGCAAATTGTACATTCAATCGATTTTTTTTCATATATATAAAAGCGTATGAAGCATAGCACAGGGAAAGGAATATGTATAGTAATGGAGAAACAACAAAAGCGCCAATGTATTATTAAGAACTTACTGTTTCATTTTATTATATTTAACAGTGACATCATCGCTAATATTTGTTCTGACGCATACTTTAACTAACTGTAATGATTGTAATACTTTTTGGCGAAAAGCGGTAGGTGCACTGTGACGTGCCCTTAGGGCCTTTTATGTCCAGCAGTGGGATTGAGAGATTTACACACTTTATGAGCATGGGTCATATACACCATTCAAAAGTACTATACTTTAAAAATAAAAATTATTCGAAGTCAAAATTGCAGTCGCGAGAGAAAATCAGATGTGTTCACGCGCAGAATTATAGAAACATTTTTTTGCAATAACTATCTATTTTAATTTAAAACAAAAATGTGCAATCAAATGGGATAAGACAATAATAAATATAAATAAAAAAAAGTGTGATAAATATACCGGGAATAAAATTACATTATATATTTATCGTAAATAAATATGCGCAATGGTATTCGTCATGTTGGCTGGTAGAAAAATAAAACAATAAGTTGACAGACGGAAGTTAGTGTGATCGAAAACACTCTCATACGCCTCCTCCCGCCGCCCTTTGTTATTTGCGTGCGCTCATGTATATGAAATGATGTCATCTAAAATATTAACACCTAATAGACACAATGCAATTATTTAACAGCTTCCAATCCAAGCGTTTGTATTTCATTAATATAATTGATACAGCGCCACCTATCATTTAAAGGATGCAACATCAGTATAATAGTCTTTCTCTATACTTTTACTGCCTACCTGCGATTTTTATACTTTTATTTTCTATGTGTCTTTAGTCTTTTTCTATATTATATTATTTTGATCTGTTCAATTACTACAATACACAGTGTGTAACAAGTCACAGGAAGGAAATCCATATGATTAATTGTCTAAAGAATTAACAATAATCAATTTAATATTTCTTTCCAACAACTAGGGTCTTACATTACAGTCGATCTATAGCGCGGACCAATGAAATTATCTCAAAACACCAAATATTTTAGAATAACGTAGCATGGTACTAAGTAAATAAATTTATTATTATTATTACTGCGTAAAAATTGAAAAAAAAAACTATACATTACGTTGAGATCTCGGTGTGAATATAAGGCGTTTAGCTCAGTGGCAAGAGCCCCGGGTGCAGGTTGAAAGCCTGGCAGCGGGGAAATTTTTTTAAACATTGCGTCTTTGAGGTGAAGCGATTCGGGTGTGCTTAGAGACCGTTTGAGTACGAAGCGTGGGTGGAGTGTGAGCTTTGCGCATTGTTTGGTACAGGCGGCGGCGAAAGGGCGGCGGTGTCGAGCTGGAGGCGTTCCGCGGCGCACCTCCCTACTGAGACGCGGGCACCGCGCGACCGACGCGCCGCCACCGCGCGAACGTCGCGCGTCGCACGGTCGCCGCACGTGTGCCGCATGTGTGCCGCACGCGTGCCGCGCGTGCGTCGCGCGTGTGCCGCACGTGCGTCGCGCGTGTGCCGCACGTGTGTCGATGCTAGGCGACAACGCAGCGCGATACCTCGCTGCTGTCGGTCGGCGGGCGCGCGTCTGCCGGCACCTCGCGCCGCCTCGCCTCCCTCGCCGCCCGCATCCTCGAGCAGGACTCGTTCCCGGACGACTCCGCGCCTGATTGTTTAACGTCACGTTAAATTCACATACCGAGCAAGGCAAGTGAAGACCGCCCGTTGACAGTAATTTCCAATTAAGTCGAAGAAGTTGCTGAGTAGGCTTCTGATTACTTAACCTCAGTAAGAGGGCGATAAAAGTGGTCTCAGGCCGCAGTGCTTCCCTGCTCAACTTGCAGCTAAGCGAACTGTATATATAAAACTTGTGTTATAATCCAGTCTGGATTACGTATAGCATATAAGTTAAATATTTAATTATATAAATAGCTGTTTAACGAAAAGTTGTCGTATATTCGGAAACACTTATGCGCTGGCAGAAATTCGCACGCCACTGTGCACCAGTTCTTTATTTTCGGATACTTACGACTACAATGGGGTGAAAATATTTCATTTCCATTCGTCATGTGAGACATGGCAAAACCAATAATCACTTAAGCTAGCCAAACGAATGTGGAACACTAATTCGAAAAAACAAAAGCCACAACTTGTACGCGAAGGTTAAGTGATTCTTTTACGGGACCATGCATACATTTTTACATCATCCAAGAAAAGATTGAAAAACGAAAAGATCCAAAGGTTAAAAAGCTAAAAACCTGTAAGGAAAGTTGGTGTGTTAAAGGCTATTAGTTATTATAATACTAGCAATTATTTAAATGATAACACGTGAAATGGATTGATCGTTTCAGGCTCTTTCAATTTGTTCTTTGACAAATAATGATAAAAAAACTTGGACCCGCTGAGTTTCTTTCACCGGTTCTTGTCAGGTAGTATCTTTTTCCCTAACCGTTAATAGTATTTCGACAATCTAAAAGCAAGTGTAATTCTATATTGAGGCGATGCGGCAGTTATCACTTAACATCACCTGATGTCAAGTGATAACAGCCGCCCCTGGACATTTGCAGTACCCGTAAGTTTGTAGACGGGTTGCCACCTTTTAATAAAGCGAGTCCCAGCTACCTCACTCACCAGACGAAACGGCGGTCCTGGTAATTACATGTACGGTACCAGTCGTGCAACAGCCGAAGCTGTTGCGTCGTCCTACCACGGTAAGTTTAAATTGAATTTTAATTTGACACTGACCGTCGTCGGAGTAATCGTCGTAGCCGAAGGAGTCGTCGGAGAAGTAGAGCAGCATGAGGTCGGATCGGCTGCGGTGCGGGGTGCGGGGTGCGGGGTCGCGGAGGGGGGAGCGCCGCGCCTCCCCGTCGCTCTCCACGTCCGTCCACTCCTCCGAGGAGCCCTCCTCCTCGCTGTGGATGACCAATCGGTATTTGTTATTTCAACAAGAACAACGTCCGTCGCTGAAGCTCTATAAATAACCCGTTACGATGACGTACGTGTGTATGTTAATTTAAAGCTCAATTGACACACAAAGCCATAGTTGCCATGCCTGGCAAGCGGCATGGTAAACCCAATTATTGGACCAATGAGTATTTAGGGTCTAGAGATATGTGACTGCTATCCCACATATGGCACCTACATGACAGTGGCTTGGACTTCCTGAATATGGGAAGTGGATGTATGCAGGTGGCTTATGACTGTGCTTTATATTCCGACTGAAATAATGATGATGATGTCGTCACACAAAGTTCTTAAAAGCAATTTTAGATCTTTTCTGAGGAATGAAATTACTGTACGAACAAATAAGAAATTCACAGTCTAAACTAAGAGCAAGTTGACGACTGAAGTTTTGTATTAGCCATAAAAAATTACTTAATTGATATGTTCTTGAATACATGGACATAAGATCACCTTTGATACTTTGAACTTTGTCTCGTAAGTTACTTATTGTTGAAATACTTGGAGAAAAAGTGCGTGTATACTTGCAAATATAATACATTGAAACATCCCATATTTTAATATATTATTTTTAAGAGGTAACAATAAAAAACAATCTTAATCAAAACAATTCCATATCTCTTTTATACTTTTATCATCTCTAATTTGTTATCAATATTTATTCATTATGGGTATGATTGTGGTTGGACGGTGGAGGGGTGGTGGAGGACCCGAAAAGGTTCGAATTGACTGTGTGAATAATAATATGTCTGAGAAAGAGGAGAGTATAGAGATGATAAAGGAAATTGGAAGGGAAGAACATGTTTGTACCAGCCATGATAGCTGAGAGTCTGGCTAGCATAAATGAAATTGCAACTTTAAGTGCTGAGTTATTACTTGCACGGCGGTGAAGAAAAACGATCGTTTGGAAACCGACATCATTTCAAAATGAGTCATGTGGACATCTACCTCTTGTAACACTTCTACTTTACGCCGGTCTTCTGTGAGGTCGTGGTACTTACCTGGACGGACCTGCCCATTCGTGCAACAGTTAACACTGTTGCGGGGCCCTACCACAGTTAACTTTACATAGTGTGTATCAAGGAAGATATTATCATTTAAGCGCCTCGATCACCTGAGTCCGCCGGCGCACGACGTCTCAGACGCGAGGCAGTTCCTGTCGGTCCATTCGTCCTCGTCGATCTCCCGCGCGCCGCCGTCCGACAGCTCCAGACTGATCCTCTCCGGTGTGGGCGTGACGGCCTGCGGCTTGGAAGGTTCCAGAGCGCTCGATGCGGCAACGGCGTCCGGGACGCTCACTCCCGAATGCCGCAAGCAAACGAGCCGGCTCCCGTAACGCTCCATCGTGTAGTTTCTGGGGGCACAAGAATAAAATGTTATTAATTATTATTGAGAATGTTACGTTATGCGACGTGATAAATTGTGGAACAGTGTGGTGCAGTGTTGACAAAATTCGCGTTTCGTCAAGAGAGTGAGTTTCACTTATCCATGCTGTTCTTCTGCGAGGCCGTGGTACTTTCACCGACGAGCCTGCACATGCGCGCAACAGCAGTAGCTTTTGCGTGTTCCTGCACCGTACAAGATATAATGATTCGTCGACACCACAGGAGACCGAAGAACTGGCAGCTACCTCGGACAAAGAATTAGTGTAGCTATTCAAAGAGGGTGCGTTTCGAATCAGTCCCGCTTCTACTACAAACTCCTTTCGTGTTTGGCGTTCAGAGTTAAAAACGGCAACAGCGCTCCCCCGTCGATCGCATTTGGCGTTCAGAGCTAAAAACGACAACAGCGCTCCACTTCGAGGTACAGTCGGCCGCACGGCCCGCGCAATCTCACCCGGGCCTCAAGACGGCCTTGCAGACGGCGCACCGGAAGCACGCCCTGTGCAAATGCAGCCCGTCGGCGGTCACGCCCTCCGCTGCGAACACGCGCGTTCCGCACGCGGCGCACTGTACCCCCGTCGACGCCGGTCCGCGCCAGCTCCTCTTGCTCTGCGAACGGATGATATATTGATAATAACGATCAATGGTAAATTAATTAATTATTATACTTCCGCGTTTCGTCCGGTGAGTGAAGTAACTAGGACCAACTTTACTAAAAGGTGGCAACGCATTTGCAACCCTACGGGTGTTGCAAATTACAATGGCCGGCGGTTATCACTTGACATCAGTTAAATTGCCAGTTCGCATGCCACGGTCTCACATAAAAAAGAATGAGAAGTTCTTTATTCTTTATTGTACACAGAGTATAAGTGAAACAAAGTTACAAAAAAAAATGTACAAAGGCGAGCTTAACCCTAGAGTTTTCTTCCAGCAAACCCTGACATAAGATTGATGAGAAACAAATCATTACATTATGATAGGTAGGTGTGTAAAACTAGACTAACTAGTTATGAGAGAATTCTACTTGAATGTATTTCAAAAGAATAATAAAGTAGAATTATTGTTAAATAGATTTTTATACTTTAAGGTAGTTAGATTTTAAGCAAAAAGTTATAATTACAATAATTTTCGTACAGTCTTTCCAAATATTAATAACCGTTAACGACCTAATTAACTGCAGTCCATATTTACTACGAATTTTGTACCTATGAATATACATTGACATATTTATTGGTTAAGCTAATTTATATTAAAGCTAATACGAATTCTCGACATCAACATTTATAGGGTATCGACGACCGTAACCAGCTATTGTTCTCTAAAATAAGGTTTATAATACTTGCCTCCTCTTTGGGAATAACTTTTGCTATCTCAGGTTCCTCCTTTTTAACGAATTTCGTAGCTAAATTGGCGACCTGCGAATATTTAATTTAAATTATTTACTTTCACAGTAAAATTATAAAAGGAATGTGAAAGCATAATGCAACTCGTGATTTAAAAAAGACACCAAAACGTTATAAATTCACGAATTTATTGAAAAATAAATATTCAATGTCAATCATCATCAATCGTCAAAATGTTTAAAAAATGAATTTGAATGTATATTATAGACCATTTTTTACCTTTTTGGTTCCGTGATCCGGTCGACCAGAGTCCTTCAGTTTCTGATCAAGCTTGTGCAGAGTGTCGTCTATCTCTCCCCATTTCTCTTCGGACTGTTCGCCTTCCTTCAAACGCCGTTGACGGCCGAGGAACTGTTGGGGACAAATCTCAAGTTAAACAAACATGACTTGACGACAGCAACAAAACGAGCGTCAGTGAACACATATTGGGGTGAAAAAACAAACGTTGGTATAAATCCAAAAATTACATTCATTAACGACATTACTAATATAAAGTATAAACAAAATGGGACATCGATAAAGACGCAGTGTATTAATTGTAATCAACACACTGGGGGAAATGCTTCGGCCACTAAATACTTGTCACTTGTCTTGAACTGAAATGTTCTTGCGGTTTTTATGAATTTAGTATATAAGTACATTAATTGTTTAATCAAATCGATGTAATTTATTTATTTAGATAAATAGCGAAAATGAGGAGTAATTATTAATGTTTAACATAGTTCCTCTCGCTTTGCCGCAATGTGGGAGTGATTTCATGAAAAGTGACGGAAGTGAGTAACAGGAAGCCGTGAAGGCGCGCGCTATTTGACTCGACCGATGAGCGCGCACGCTGCTAGTGTTGGTCCTCATACCCGTTTTCCGAAAGGCTTAAACCTAGATTGTGTAGAAAGTGTGCTGTTATTACATAATATATATAAAATAATGTAAATTATATGTGTAAAATATAACAATAAATGAATTAATTGCCAATAAGTGTCTGAAAAATTTGCAGATAAAATAAATTAAAAGATGCAAGTGAGTAAAAGTGAATAATTTTTATCTAAGAAAATAACTTATTCGCACGGATAATTTTTTGAATATTATTAACGCTTTTAATATTTATAATACTACCTTGTACCTACATGTACACTATGTTTCCTGTATTTTATTTCTATGTATTTCCTTGTGTGCAATAAAGTGTCTTCTATTCTATCCTTATTACCAAGGTGAGAGGTGAGATGGAACTCACTTGCTCCCTGTCCCATTTGGGCACCTTCTCGGCCGCCCTCGGCTCGGGCCTGCCGAGGCGGTTCTCCATGATCTTCCTCTCTATCTCCTTGACGTTCCAATCGTCCCGCTCTATCTTGCCGACCGACCTCATCAGGTCCTTGGGCTTGCACGCCTTCGGCGGTGCGGGGGCGTTGGTGCTGGACAGTTCGGCCGCCAAGCGAGCGACTCTTGCGCCGCCCCCCACTGCCCTACTACCGCCCCCCACTATTCGTCCCTCTTCCTGGAACAGTTAAATTAATAAACAAATATTTCCGGACATTTTTTTTAACAACGTTATCTGGTCCCGAACTGAGCAGAGCTCGTACTATGGGTACTAGATTAGTGATAAACGCACTTAAAGGTACTTTTTTTGTCAATATAAATATATAAACAACCAGAGACTTGAAGAATGCTACGTTCATCATATAATATTTTTCGAGTAGTCGGGATCGAACCCACAAATATACATTTCGATTTTAGATAATAAATTAACCAATTTCCCCAATATTACTTTGCGGAATACATTACACATGAATTTATATATCCATCATCTTCCATACATCTCCTTTACTTCCGCTCACTGTAGTTTTATAAACAAAATTTCGTTGTTAAAATAAACGCGTAATAAACATGCGTCCATTTAAAGATATCACAGTGGTATGTCAACGAGCCGTCCGTGGAATGTTAGAAGGAATCGTGAAAAGAGCAAAAGTTACGCTTAGCGATCGTACACAATCAGTCTAACAATAATTAATGCAAAGGCTGGGAAACAATAAATTGTAATATATATTAGAACGAACAGTCACACAATGGTCTATATCAAATATCACGTGATGGTTATTTAAAATCATGCACACAATTATACAATATTTATTACAATGAAGTCTACTAGTTAAAGACGAGTCTCACCTCAAAATAGCATTATCTGGATATAATCCATAAATGTTCCTAACTCCACACGACAAAAATTACAAAAGAATATGCTTATCGTTCTATGTTTTCAATCTTAAAAAAAACGTAGTTTATAAAAAATGAAACCCTAAAAGTAAAACTCTCACTCGATTATTAGGCAAAATTCAAAAACACGCACGCGAGAAATGAAAAAAGAAGAATGTGCTTTATGACTACAAAAAAATACCCTAGCTACGTTGAGTAGTCATTTAATCCTAGTTCATAATTATTATTTTTAGAAAAGATGCCACAGGCGGGACACATTTGAGCCGATGTCCGATTTTGATGCAACAAACGCATGGGAAAAAACAGAGCAGTGCGTCTAAAACAGAGCATTATCGTAACGATCGATTCGTACGGCGCCGCGACGTTAGTCTCACAGCGTTAGTCTCACCATGCAACACACAATGGCACACGGGTCTCACGTAGTGTTGCAACTGTTTCTCCAGCTTGCGCACTCGCTCGTCGAACTGCGGCGCGTTGGCCCTGTACTGCTGGAGCCCGTAGTCGTTCTCTAGGTCGGCGGAGGGCGCGAAGTCGGGCCGCGGCTCGGCGGCGAGCATCTGCAGGCTCTTCTCGAAGCGCTGCCTCATTATCTCGCGCGCTGCCTTCCGCCTGCCGCCGCCCCTGGGCCGTCTGGCCTCCGCGTCCCTCCTCTGAATTAGGTCGGACGCCCTCTGCATCCGGAACGCCATGTCGCCAGAGTTCCGCCGCTGCGGCGGCTCAGGGCTCGCTCTGGGCTTGCCCCCCCTCATCAGTTCCGCCACCCGGCGCGTGCGCAGCGCCATCTCCGGGTTGCCGATCGACTCCGGCCGCTTGCTGCGATCGGGGCTGGGCGTGGCGCGTTTCCCCTCGATGATGTCGGCCATCCGCTGCCGACGGAGCGCCATATCGGCGCTGATGCTCTCGCGGTCCTCGAACAGCTCGGCTATCCTCCTCGTGCTGCGCAGACTCTCTATGGATCCGATCGAGTTCGAGCGGCCCGCGATCGGGATAAAGGGGCTCTGAGAGTGTCGAGCGCTGGCGACGGTTTCCGAGAGTCTCCTCGCGTAGGTTACGGGCGGCTCGACGGCGGCATCCGTCGGGGAGACCGCCTTCGCTATGTCCGTAGGGACGACTGTGGCGTCCGTATCGGCCGAATCGTCCTGGAAGACGTCTGAGAAATCCGGCGCTTTGATCGTGTCGGCGTCCAGCCCTTTCAGTTTGCGAGGCGGCTTCGGTTGGCCCGGGTTGATTTTCTTCTCCCGGAAGAAGCGCGCCATGTTCGGCTGCTTCGTTTCCCTCGGCCTCGTGCGCGTCTTCGCGTTGCCCTCGAGCAGCCGCGCCAGCGATTCCCTCACCAGTTTCGGATCGGGGGAGTCCTCGGGGTCGAGTAGCGCTAAGATCTGCTCCTGTATCTCCCTTTGCTTGTCCGTATGCGCGTCGTCTTTGTCGATTGTGTCATGGCCTTCGATCAGTCGTGCTAGTTGCGTGATGTCATTAAGGTCTAACTTGCCGATTTTCTTTCTTATGAACTCGGCGGGGTCGCTACTTACTTGGGGGGTGCGTAGGGAACGTCGTTTCTTTCTGTAGCTCAGGGTCGACTTGTCGGTATCTGCGGCATCTGCGGCAAACACGTTCTTTTAAAAACATGCACGGTAAAGCTTAATCAAATTATTATTATAAACAAAAAAATATTAAATTCTAATATATTATTATTATTCCGATATTGCTTTTCGGGAATAATTTATTATATTTTACAACTATTGTATAATCTAAGAACGTCTGTATCTAAATTTATGAGTAGAGACAGAAAGTTATAAAATGAAGTAAAGATCAATAAGAAATCTTTCTAGTTCCATTATTCCGATGAGCGAAAACTATAATATAATTCAAAAATTGCAGTTTAATTATTATGAACAAACAGGCGGTGCACCTAGTGTTAATGATGCGTTGCCAACATTTAATAGATTGGGCCCCGGTTACGTCAATCATCGGACTAAACGCAAAAGCGTAACACTTCCACTATAAGTCGTTCTTATATTCGTGCGACAGCGGAAAATACTGCGTGGCCCTACCACAGTTTCCTATATTACTTACTCGAATATACAGAAACTGATTGCTCCGTCGTATTTCGGGCATGCTTCTCTTTCTGTTGGCTTATTTTGATCTAAAAATAAAGTTAAAGTTATTGACAATTGCACGGGGTTAATTTTAGAGAGTTAATCATGAATGGGTAATCAGGATTCAAAACAGTATACAATACAAATCATCGAATCGGTTAAATTTAACAATCAAATATTTCAAATATCTTTTTCTTTAGGTCTTACAAATTATCGGTATATTAGACAAAAGGTTACATTATTGTACAACTGAAGTATATACACAACGCGGGTACTACAACAAATCACAAAAATTCCACCATCGAAACGCACGCATCGAATTGGACTATGGAATATGGAATCAGGGCAGTTTCCCTCAAGTTTTTCTACCACAATAAAATATTAATTCTCGCGTTAGCTACGCCGCAGGGAACTCTCGTCAAAAAAGGGAACATTGCGGTGGGGAAAAGGGGGGATGATGGTGAAGGCGGGGGAAGGGGGGTGTTTGCTGTGCGTAATTTCGTACGACCTGATCGAAGACGTCCGTCTGGTGATGGATGTGCGGCACCTCGCCCTTGAACGCGTTGTACACCCGGGCGAGGTACGAGCGCAGCTTCCCGTCCGCCACGTCCCGGCTGTGACCAGAAGCGGAGAACGGCACGATGCCTGACAATCGGAACGGTACCCTTCCGTTACAAAGGCAAAGGGGAAAACCCATTTGCTGTAGCTCATGGTGTTAGGGTAAAAATAATATAATTAAATGAAACAAAAATACATACGGTGGACGAAATAGACACATTCCAACAAACACATAAAATTCATTGAACGCAACAACAATGGGAATCATAGACTCATCAATTTCTATTTTTCCTTACATCAAAACTAATTTATTGTCAAAATTAGATAAACGTCAAAACCAATTTTCAATAGATACTAACTTTCCATTTAAGCTTAATTTATCATTTTCAAATTGATGAAGGCTGCGTTGCTACTTTAGAAAAATCAATTGGAAAATCAATCTAAACAAGTTATTAATAAGCCACCACTAGGCACAATAATCAAATTAACGCTAGTTATAACCGCTAAGATCTCTAAGAACCGCTGAGGTGATCAATGGAATAATAATAGTTGGTGGTTAACATCATTACAATTAATGCCATTTGTTGAAAATACAAAACATCTCTTAAAAAAAAAAAAGCAAGCATCGAACTAGCGACAAATACTTCACAAAAATTATTGGGATAGAGAAACGGCGATAATTTGCATACCAATAAAATCCAAACTTCTTGTCCCCTCGGCATTTTCTGTCACATCACAAAAGTATAACGAGGAATTATATCGTGTAGCATACACGTTTATCGATAATTAAACCAGAGCAGTTTGCGATCCATGCTAACATAACTATCTCGTGAGAGTCTAACCTATGTTGCCTTGAAGGCAGGGGCCGGAAATCCCGTTCTATTGATTAAGCCTTTGAAAAGGGTTAAGCCGTTAGAGTGTTTACCGTTTTTGGGTAAACCTTCTATTAGCTTCGCCAGTATAGTGGTAAGCCTAAATTGGGTTAACACTAACAAACCGAAAATGATAGGCTTTCAGATAAAAATTGCTTACGCTTCGTATAGAATCATCTACCGTTGAAAAACTCTGGGAAATGTTTTAACTGGAATTAAATCAAACGGCTTAACCGCCTTCTGCCAATAACAAATCTAATAAGCATAGTGTTTAACACAAATTTACTTTGGGTTCAATCCGAAACCGGTTTCTGTCAACACCTCCTCAGAGGCTTTTGACTCGAATTAATTCAAACAAAGAGCCTGTCTAAACGGTATCATAGGCTTACCACAACGTAATGGTTTTTAAAAACCCTTTCAAGGGCGAGCGGTTCCGGGCCCTGGTTGAAGGCCACCGTGGCACTCGATACAACAAGTATAAACGTTGGTGGAGCACGCCGGTCTACTAACCGAACTCGTGCTGCAGCACGTGGTAGACCGCCCTGTGCGGGGCGCTGGGCGGCATCAGGTCGGGCCGGTAGCGGCGCACCAGGTCCGAAAGGGCGACAGCGCTCACCGCCGCCCGGATGCCCGGCTCCGAGTGGCCGACCCACGCGACGAGCGCCTCCTCGGGGATGTCCGACTCTGGTGGTGGAGAATGTGGTCACATCGTTTAATTAGTACGTGGCCGCTGCTCGGACGAAACCTCAGAGGTATAGCTGTCCTCGGAAATGCCCGACTCTGAAGGTGAAAAATGTGTTCACATAATTTATTTGGAATATTCCCGCTACTCGGACGCCACCTCAGGGTTAAAGTAATATCCTCGGGAAAGTGACAATGCGGCCGGCGGCCTTATTAGCTAAAATAAGCGATCAGCGAAAATTGTGCAGACGACGCGCGATCGATTGCTTTACGTCAAAAAAATTCGTATTACGTTACTCATCGCTAACCTATTGTTCGCTGATCGTAAATATGCACTTTTTGCTCGCTGAACTGTCAAATAAGCCATCGAGTAGCAATAGCAATAGGTTAGTAAATGAAAAGTGGAAAGTTTCTAAAACAAATGTTTCTAATTTTATTTAAGTGTATTGAAAAACAAAACCATGTGCGGAGTCTTTTTAATGGTTTAAACTTTCAAGTGCTATTATATGTAGTAATCGCTGTAACAAGTGGTCAAACAAAAAATATGCAATACTCTCTAGAGTAGACGAGAGTTGAAACTTAGTGTTTGCTTGGATTTTGAAGTCGCAACTTAAAAGAGGAATAATAGTGAAGTGAGTAAACTACTACTTTTAATTCAGCTTTAAATTATTACGGCTAGAAATATAAATATTAAAATTTATCTCTTTTTCAGTAGATATAAAAATATGGCAAATAGACGACGACATCGTACGACCAACTTGAAGAACTCTTGGAATTTCTTGCTCGGCAACTTGGATTAGCCAAAGAAATAGGACTTGGGGCAAGATCTAAATTGTTGATAAGCAATGGAATGAACTTGCCACCAAGCTTAATTCCTATGGATCTGGGTCTTCAAAATCTGGATAACGATGGAAAAAGGTTTGTTTTTAAGATATATTCTGAGTAAAGTAATTTATTTTTAAATAATTTGTCTAATTTGGTGTACTCTGGGTCAATACTCCTTAATTAGCTTATTTTTTATCAAAATATGTGTTTAATTGTGGGGGACTGGAGATAATACACACAAGAGCAAGGCTGGTGGTGGTCCTAGTAGCCAGATAGATTTGTAGACAAAAAAGTCTTGGCTATTGTTGAGGAGCAAGCTATATTTGGTGATAGTGAGCACAGAATTTGTGTATTTGTTACTTCGTCGACATAAACTTAACATAGTAATATATTTTTTAAAACAATATGTTATATCTCTATAGGGCTATTTGAATATTATTAAATATTATACTATTTAGAACACACAACTTGAAAATGTGTTGCATACTGTAATTGAACCTGAGGAAGTACATGTAAAGGGTAAAATTTTGTAGTACATACACTATGTATTTTAAAAATATTACAATAACAGCAAGCTCATCATCAACACAAGGGCAAACAGTCAGAATTTGAAAATCTTTTAACATGCAGTATAATTGATTTCTCTTTCATGTCTTTCATTAATTTCTTTAATGATATTTGAAAAGGAAAAGCTAAGCTTTTCACAGAATATACATATAAATGTATTAAACATACTTAACACTGAAATATCTCTTTAAATTGATACTTATTTTTGCAGACTTAAAGGCCCATTTACACGGTGCCAGTTTCTTGCCTGTTGTATACAATTAAATTGAAGCAATAAATAAGTTGCATGGTCTAAACAACAAATGGTCTAACCAATTATTGCGCGCAATTTATTGCACTCAATTATTGCTCTTGCATGTACAAGAAAATGGCATTGTGTAAATGGGCCTTAACTCATGGTACAACTTCAGAGATACAGTTAGCTTAACCATCATGGACTGGTTTTTTTAGATATATTATATTTATTATAGTTACCTACTAATTATTTTCCAGAATAATATAATTACTATTTTACTTGGGCAATTACTATATAATAGTAGTATAATACTCAACTTTACAAAATGGTACATTTAAAATTTATGTATCTGTTAGCAAAATGATGGTTAAAATATAGATTTTGTTTGTAAAATTGTTTATATATATAATATATTCAAGAATCACATTTATTGTCTATATTTTTATTATAAATTTGACAAAACTATGTTTCATGTTACAGAAGTGCAAAGCTTTGTCAATATCTGGCCATCTATCATATTGAGTTGCACATAAATGAGTTGCAAGTGCGTCTAGTAAACAACCTGTTAACTTATTTTTAAAAGGATATTTATCAAAAAATTTTAGCAAGAAATAATGCAATATTCTTATTACATATCAGGTCAATCCAGGAGACAGAATGGGTGATGGAATTAGAGAGAAATAGGGTACAGGCAGAAAATAAACTTGCAATACTGCACTTATAATGGCAAAAGCATCTCGAGTGTAAGCTGAAGCTGCTCATGTACAGGCATGCTATTGGAGCTTGTGCAAGTAAAGTGAATAAATTCATGTGTTGCTGAGCTGAGTCAAAGCAGCTAATAAAATGTTGTAATGAAACAATAAATGTACTATAAATCAATATGTTCTTTTATTTTATTTCCCGCAGTAAGTAATAACCAATTAACAACAAATACCACATAATTAGTACACTGTTTGGATTAACCAAAGCAAATACAAATAATTAAAATCAAATATCAACAGCTATAAGATAAATATTTTACATTACTACTCAATATTTATTAGTTCATATAATATAATATTGCATATCACATACAATTTTAGTAACCATATTTTTTTTTTTTATTTAGAACTGGCCAGCACTTGACTGCCATCCCACCTGATGGGATATATACCCAACCATATGTTGATTAACTTACATAACCATATAATATTATTTTGTATTATCTTGAAAGTATATTTACAATTTGTATCATTTATTGATTATTTAATGTTAAAATATTGATTTATACTATAATAACTTTTTATTAACAAATGCTTTTGAATTAAATATTTTTACATGCATTAAAAATCGAAATAAGGTTAATGTAGAGCTTACAAATTATTGTTATAAAGGTTACTTTTTGGAGGCTGTTGATCATTCTTCATATTCAATTGGGAATAAAAATGGCATACACTCGGCTAATTACTAAATACAATTTAATAAATTACATAAACCTATTTTAACACCCTATAAGGGAACAAATTGCAAACACTATTTGCGTGTTTATAAAATTTGTGATAAGGTTATTAGAATATATGTGTTAAATTGATGCTTTTAATAATACTGAAAATTTTGAATTATAAGACAAAAGTAAATAAAAAATGGAATTGAAAAAAGGAAAAGTGATAGATGAAAAGTTTAATTTATAAATTATAGCATGATTTTATATAAAGCAAACGGCACAAACACCCTAGCTTATTACTACCTAGTATATACTTCATATCAATACCCTAGCTTAAATCAAATCAGTATAATAATTATATTCAGAACATTAGTATAGTACATTAAGATCAATGTCTTGGGGCCAACCATAAATATTGCACGATAAGATTTCTTGTCTTCTTAATATCTGTAGCTTTATTTGATCTCATTCAGTATGAAACAGCTCTTTAGGAGTTTGTACTATTATGAGTATTGATGTCTAAACTCCGCTTCGATAACCTCCATAATTTTGGCTTGAGTCCGAAGAATATGTCTCAAGGATATCATATTATAGTTAATTTGTTTCTCCTCAACTTCTAATGCTTCCAATAAAGAACAGCACGAGCCATGTTCAACACTTTCACAGTTCTTACTCCATTTAGGCACTTAAACCAACTTTTGTCACTTTTATACGCGTTTTTTGTTATATTTGAACGTTGAATTGTACAGTATATATGGAGGATATAAACAAAAATCAAATCACGCGCGGATTTATATAAAAAGGACAAAATTACAATAACGAAAGAGAAGCAATCGATGGAACAATCAATATAAAGTTATCGCAATTTGACGTTAGGATCGTTCGCTGATTGCTCTCGGATCGCTGTCAAAATTAATACGTGATACGAAAACTTTGTTTATCGCTTTGGTATGTAGTAGGCTATTGCACTTTTTAGTTCACTGATTGTTCTACAGAGGCAGCACTATCGTCATTATGTTTTCGCTTCGCTATTGCTGATACATAATACGAATTTGCGATTATTGTGCAATAATTGCAACTTTTTCGCTATCGCTTTGCATTTGCTTTTAACGTAATAGGCCTGCCGGTCGTTTATTTGGAACATGCCCGCTGCTCGGGCGCCTCCTCAGGGGGTATAGCAACCTCCTAAGGAATGTCCGACTTTGACGATGGAAAATGTGGTCACGCAATCAAAAGCATTTTTAAGATGCTTTCCGGTCACTATAAGCGATTCAGACTTGATCAAACAATTCTTTTTTAGACATCACAACCATGACGCAGTCCTGTCATTCTGAAAAATTCTGTAGAAATGCATTCGAATATCGCAACTACGGCACGGGTCCTACAGAAGTTTTGCATGCCACGGTCAAGTTCTAAAGTAAACGATTTATTGCACAGTCTCAACGGACGGCAAGTGGCGCAGTTACACAAAACCAGGCAGCCGATATTTTCAACGAAGGCTGTATTACGACTTTTGTCCCACTCCCATTTTTTTTACTTTTTCCCTTTTTTTTATGTTATACAGTTACTTAGTTTCTTGCATATAGTTAATTTAGATAGCAATTAGGTGTGTAATTATGTACGTTAGTAGGAAGTTACTTCTGATAGCGTAACAAAAGAAAATTAACTAAAAATTTTCATCCGGTGTGCCAGTACACTTTGTTTGTGTAAAAAGGACATTGACAATCGATAAATGTTAAAATAGCTGACTTGTAATTATAGGCAAACTAGCTGCTGCCCGCGACTACGTCTGCGTAGAGGGGTGAAAATTGAGGATTGTATGTATTTTTGTATGTTGTATCATAAAAAATAGAAATTAAAAATTTTGTCTAAAAAATAAAAAAAAAATTACGGGGTGGACTACCCCTAACATTTAGGGGGATGAAAAATAGATGTTGGCCGATTCTCATAGATACCGGATAAGCACAAAAAATTTCATCAAAATCGCTCAAGCCGTTTCGGAGGAGTATGGCAACGAAAACTGTGACACGAGAATTTTATATATTGAGATGTCAAAAAGTCGTTATCGGCTGCCATGGTAACACCATGAAGTAAGTGTCGCGCTCACATGTAGCGCATCGAAAAGTTCACTCTACTCACTTCCCCTGAACGCGCCAAAAGAAGTAGGTATAACTTAAACCAAAATAAACTAGGACCCACCGCGGCGGCGTTTCCTCGCGCTGGAGGTCGCGTCCAGGGGCAAAGGATCGTCGGAGTCGTAGAAGGAGGTCACCCGGTGGGGAGTCACCGCCGTTCTGTTCAGGTTCGGGTACCGCGTGCCAGGGTCCAGGGTGTAGGCGCCAAAGTCGCGGTGCAAGTTCTCCGGGGTCGTTTGGGCTGAAGGCGAAAGTGCAATTGTTACTATCAAAATAACACCAATTGTGCGTGCAATGATGTCAATTTTCATGGTCAACTCGGAATCATTAGACGAAATGTTTGTTTTCTTCTCATAGGTAACATAGGTTTTAGTTGCCGTTATTGATTTTACATTTTACAGAGTTCATTGGAACAAAAATGGAATAAAAATTTTTCACCGCTGCGTGAATCGAAGCCACGTCTTCCGGATTCGCGCCCGTAACGCTTTAAACACTGAGCTAAACGGCTAATTGCACCGACGATAATCTCAATGTATCTTATCTACATTGTTTTTTCGCAATTTAAACTATGCTTGTCGCATCTATTGTTATGTCCTTTACTGCACACAAACAATTTCTAATGTCGTTTTACAACGATAATTCGAACGATGTCGTCATTGCGATTTGAAATTTTTAAAGTGCTAATCTTTATATTTATCTATATTGGGAGCGATCTTTTATCATCATAACGCGCATCAGACCATACATATATACAAATTTGGCCTCAAAAATTGAGTTTGGTTGGGAAGTGTTAATGCATCCGCCATATAGACCTTGCACTCTCAGATTTCCAACATATGTTTTACTAGTTTCATGTAATATTATTAGATAAAAATATTTTACAGATTTTACCGCAGTAAAATTTGATGTTATTACTAACGCTTCACACGATCTATCGTCTGTAAATATACAATATCCATACAATAATGTACCAATTAACAAAAGACCGCCGAGAAGTAGAAATATTTACACTATAGTATATCATTCTCATAGAGAAGTCTTTCATAAGGAACTTCCATTGGTTATCGTTAACCATCAAAAGAACCACTGCTGTGCCTCTCCTGCATGCCACAACGAAATCAAGTCAAGTGGAGAAAATTCCTTGACAAGTTACCTAAGAGTCGATAAATAGATTCCCTCTCGGCGATGACCTCCAACGAGTGTGGCGGTGGGGTTTGACCCCAGGCCCTGACAGCCCACGCGGCGTCCAGCGCCGACAGGAATCCACGGGCACAGCCGGAGCCAGTAGGCCAGAAGGGCTCCAGTAGACTGTCGCCGACGAGCTGACACAGCAGCCTGCGTCCTTGGCGCTCGTATACCTGCAACGTTTTATTTTTATTTTGTGTGGAGCGAGTCGGTTACTAAGTTCCTACGTCCATTGCGACCTCGAATCTATTGCAGTCTTCCCGTCTAAAACATTGACCCCTTACTGCAGGATAATATTATCCTGTGCTGTAAGGATGTTTTACATACACAAATTTCACGTGGATAAACACTGACTGAACAGATCCGAAACGACTATGTCGTGGTCACACAAATTGACGACCCGAATGGCGTAGTGGGTAGTGTAGCTGCCTTCTGTGTCAGAGGGTGTGGGTTCGATCCCTACTAGAAAAATATTGTGTGATAACATAATGTTTTTCTAGTGTCTGAGTATTTATATATGTATAATATGCATTTATTAACAAATAAAGAAGAATTGAAAGAAAATTGTTTAAATATGTTTATCAGTTTTCTAGTACCCATAGTACAAGGTTTGCTTCGTTTGGGACTAGAGAATGTTGTGTAAAAATGTGTCCTAAAATATTTATTTATTATTTATTTATTAAATAGTTGTCTCGCATGGGATTCGGACCCATATTATGATATAATTAAATGCTCTTACTTTTATTATTTCTCTGAATAACCATTAAACAAATCACAATCATTTAACGCAAATAAATAATTATTGGGTTGAAGGCGCCACCGTGCCATGCAAACAGCTATTTTGTAAGTGATAAAAGTGTAACCAAAAATAGTAAAAAGCGAAAATAAGATCAGAAATCATTCTTAAACATAAGAAGTCCGCTAGAAATTGTGTAAACACTTGTGAAATGTAACAAAATAATCGGAAAAACATCAAAAACAACGAAGACAAATACAGTTTAACAGTGCAATGAAACGAGATAGATGTAAAAATAAAAACGGGTATTTAAAATCTCAAGAAAAAGTGAAAATCAAACAAGTCTACGGTAAATACAAAACAGTAAGTAAAAGAGAAAAAAATAAAGAAGATAATCAAATAATGCCGATAAATTTGAAAAATTAATTAAATTATTGATCAAAGACATTTCAACGAACCGTTAAGCTAACGCCATCTAGAAACAAGTAGTATAAACACTTAAAATTAAAGTATGAAACATTAACAATAGCACCACAGTAGCAGAACGCAACATTAGCGACATCTACCAGCAAATAGCAAGTAACATGGAAGAAATAACAAAAATTTTAAAATCAATACAAATCGAACTAGCAGAACAAAAAAGAGAAATAAAACAAATAGAAAGTAATATTACAAATAGCATAAACAAGAATATCAGTAAAAACTTCAAAATATTGGAACAAAAGTATCTTTATTTAAATGAAAGAGTAGAAAATCAAGAAAAAATTTTGGATCGTATGGAGAGACATAACAGAAAGAAAAATTTGGTGTTTTTTGGAATCGAGGAAGGTGAAAAATCTTATGAGCAGTTAGAAAATAAAATCCTAAATTACATGAGCAAAATTAATATTTCTTGTCAGCGAAACGAAATTGAATCATTAAAAAGATTAGGAAGAAAAGGAGAAAAACTAAGACCGATCACAGTTACCTTCACTACCATGGCAAAGAAAATATTATTACTACAAAACAAGAAAAACATTAAAAATAGTAGTATATACTATAAACAAGATTACCCATATAAGGTTTTGGAGAAAAGGAAACAATTACAAGCAGAAGTATTAAAATATAAAGCAGAAGGTAAGAAAGCGATAATAAAATATGACAAACTAATTGTTCTAAATGAAAACAAACCTAACAAAAACCAGAACGGTCCACAACAATCAAAGAAACGAAACATATATTTCTCCAAATAAATCCGCGAAAATCAAGCCTCAAAGAAGAATAAAATCACAGCTTTTATGAGACAAAGAAAAGATTCTGAACACTACACTAAAACATAACTCCTAGTTCCAGCATATAGCAATTAAAGGATACCCCTCAACCACCTCAAGACCCAACACGGCTAGTTTTTCTCTTGACTACAACCCTCCAAGAAAAATTAAAAACATAACACATGAAAAGAGAAATAAAAACAACCTTTAATGTGCCAATAGCACATATAACAGGAGACAAATGGCTAACAAAACCGAGAAATAGAATAAAAAGGAAAAAAAAATGGAGGAGGCCTTTACCCTACAAAGGGATTTTCATTTAGATAATTAAGTTATTTATTTATATGTAATGTTAGTATTAATAATTTAAATTCATAGAAATAGTAATTTGAAACATAGTTATATTAAACTTGTTATGAAATATATAAATAGAAATAACAATAATACTATAATCTTTGCATGTAAACATATAATGTAAAACCGCACGAAAATGAGAATTAATAAATAAAGCTTATTATTATTATTATTAAATAAATTATTGAACAGGAACTAATGGTTGGACGACGAAAGGGTGATAAAGTAACGATAGTCAGGTACAAAACCGAACGAATTACTGACTGGGAACGAATATGAACGAATGATTTGATCGGAGAGCGGAAGACGGGTGAAGTACGAACGGATGCTAAATGAACGTTTATATTGCTGCAGCACGATTTGTGCGGAAGGGACTGGGTAGAAGTCCAGCTTACCATGCTGGCGTTCTCCGCCGCGTACATGGACGTGAAGTCGAAGAGCGCCACGTCCGGCTCGCCGTAGTGGTTGAGGGCGAAGTCCCTCAGCGGCAGGCGGCCGTCGGTGGAGAAGCGCGCCGCCTCCTGGGCGTAACGCATCAGCGCGCCGCGGTCCACGTTCTCTACGCTCAGCAGCCGAGACACTTCTGCGTAGTCCTGCAACACGCGATAGCAAGTTAAAATAGACACACTAATACACACCAATTAAATATATCAATTATAAACCCCTCCCTCCTTCATCAAATGGACATTTGCATGCAGAAGTTAGCTGAATATGTTGCACCTAATAATTATAATTAAGATCACAATGTACTACGATATTCTGGCAATAAAGACATTCATTCATTCATTCATTCATTCTCTGATGAGACGAATAAAGCCATTTTATTTCAGTTAGCTTGAGCTAGAAGAGAACCGGCTTTTCTTATTTCCCCATTTGCAAACACATTAATCAAAATGTCGAAGCTATCCCACGCGGGGCAGTTCGGGAAGGTGTTTATTTACTATGTATCTAGCATGAAAAGTCCCATCGCTTGGCCTACGATAAAGCCGTTCAACAGAGGAACCGAGTTGTTTATGATCGAGTATCAATAGATAATAGAATATTTTTGCGACTGGAAAAATGTGAAACGTCTATCTACTGACTTTTGATAGCATCTACGGACATATGGCGGCATATATAGACATATTATAATAAACTGAGTTTCTTAAATGAAAATTACTCTCCAAAATATTATTGTGCATTATACTTCTCGTCCAGCCCTTACATAAATTAATAATTATATCACTTACGTTTAACAATACTCCTTTATCCAAAAGACTATGCTTCTTCGCAGTCATAACGAAGTAATGTGTGTCGTCTTTGTAGTAAACGATATTCTCAAGGTCGATGCCCGTCACTTCATACAGCTCTTTGAAGAATTTCTGGTTGAAAATAAACGCAACGCCACTTATCTCCGGGACCTGTTAGCGAGGTAAAATGTTTTGATTTATATCATATAAATACGGGTATTTATACAGTACAATAATTTGAAACATGATTTTAAGCATAAAAACTAGGTTCAATAAAAAATCTGACATTGTGGAAGTAAAAAAAGTTAATGATCCGTTTATTCCAGCAATAACGCTAAGCAATAGAGTTCGGCAAAATGTTTTCGTTATGTCACATATCGGTGGGCACGTGAAAGGAGAGATAGGGCTCAGGGCACGGTGGACGCACCGACGCCTCCTGCTCCGTGTGGCGGTTGATGAAGTTCGCGGTGATCGCCATAGCCAGCTTGCCGCGGAACTCCTTCCGCTTGAAGCCGTGCAGGGTGTTCCGTTTCCCGTCGGCACCCACCAGCGCGTCGAACTCGTACTGCGACACAGGGTGGTCGGCGGGCTCCACCCGGGCGCGCCACCCCAGCCCTGCGGCATGACGCGGACGCATCACTTTATCGTAGAGTCTTTTTAAAGCCATTCAAGACATTCATTCCGTCACCTTGTAATAATGGCAAAAGCTTAAACACTGGCCTACTGAGAGAGAGAGAGAGAAAATTAAAGAGAAAAATATTACAAAAGAAGAAAAATAATATGTTTTTAACAAAAATATACCTCTTTTGGCGCGTTCGGAAGAAAAATTATGAGTGTAAAATTTTTGCTGCAATTGTTGTTGCAAAGCAACCAACTCCGCGATATTACGATGGCTACCAATAACAACTTTTAGACATTTACCAATAAATCTAAGTCTAAATGACTTATTAAACCTTTATCAATTGTTTAATGTCTTTTTCACAAATAAGGAATTCTCTCACACGGGATAACATTTTTTTGTTATTTTTCTTCTGTTATTACACTTTTTTTTATTTTTGTAGTTGTACTTCTTTTTTTACGATAATTAGAGTAAAAGTTTTACACGTGCGCTTGGAATTATAGGTAAATGTCTCGAAAGGTAATATGATCTCTTCAGGTTTTATTGTCAAAAAGTGCTGGCCGCTTTCCCCGCCTTGGGTCCCTGAGCGCCATTATCCGTAGAGCTGTTGTGTCCATCAATGTACCCTTTATTTTAGAGCCCTATGGCATTTTCTGTTACGATGGCAAGAGAACCGACGCCTTGGCTGTAATCCGTTGGGAGAGAGGCAAAGTCCTCGTTTGGAATGCTACTTGTGTAAACACTTTGGCTGCCTTTCATCCAAGGGATACATCGGTCAGGGCCTGAGCGGCATTGGGCAGCTGAAGTAAGTGACGTAAACATGAGTCACTTTGTTCAGATTATGTATACGTGCCTGTGTTTGATGTTGAAACTTTACGAAATTTTTGAAGCTTTTGTTTCTCTTTAACGCAATATATTAGAAGTAAAACTTCATAGTACGTACATAAATACAGACACGATTTTTATTTATTCTTATTTATATGACAAATTGACAAGCATGCAGGCGTAGCACTTGATGGTAAGCAATTACCGCCGCCCCATGAACATATACATAATCTGATAGCTTTGTAGATGCGTTGACAACTTTCAATAAAGCAGCCCGGTTACACCATTCGTTAAGCCGCACGCGGAATCGTTCATCGTATCATATCCGTGGTAGGACCACGCAGCCTCGGCTGTCGCAAGAATATGTATGCCTCACAGAAGACCGAAAAGAATTAGAAGTATATTATTCTTTTGCGTTTCGTTCACTTTTCACCGTTTGAGTTCGTAACTGACTATGCAGTGTTTTATTGCAGATTGAATTTGACTTACTTTCAGAGTTCTCTGTGACGGTTGGCTCCAGGAGCTCCTCGAAGCTGACACCCTCGTGAAACTCGACGCCGAGAAGTAGAGCCACCTGTTGACGAAATAAAGCGAGCGCATATTGTTAAAACGGAAGTGTCATCGAATTGTTTACGACACATAAACAATGGCAACCCGAGACGGCTTTGTTTGAGCACGTCGGGGCACGGGGAATAAGATAAGGCGCCGTCAGTAATATGGCAACAATGCGTGACGGGAACACCGCCACAGTGTTGCGTCACGCCACGGGAATGGATGTTCGGAAACCGACACCAAGAACTATGAACCATGGCTATGAACCAGCGAAGCGGGGTCGAGTCTCTCTTAATAGGGTCGCATCGATAACCACGAAGACGGTAAACACTGTTATAAATTGTTATTATTACGCGCAGTATTTCGCACTTAATTAACCCAGAGCTGTTGCACTGTTTACGATAGCGAGTGTGAAGGGTAGAACAACAAAATAGCAATAATGTGTCCACTAAATGTCACACAGATATAAACAGTTGATTTACGACCATCGTGTACATTATTTCTCAAAGGTCCTTCACCGTGGCAACGCCTTATCTCTCTTAATACTTTGTCAATATGATCCTTACACCATTCAAGCTTACATTCTTAGGTATCTATATATTAATACGTGAAGCAAAAACTTTGTAGATACCCCTTTTTTCCATAAATTGCGAGTACGTATGAAATTTCCCACATTATAAACTATGTGTAGAGGAGTGCAAATGCTAATATTTTTTTAAAATTATACGTAAAATATACATTAAATCAATAAAAAAACATTACACACAACCATGTATAATTAATTATGGTCGTAATTTCGAACATTGGGCGATCACTAGTTAACGATAAATAAACGAGGCCTATGTTCAGCAGTGGACTCTATAACCTAAACTCTATATGTATAGGTTTTAGCTTAAACTTCTTTATACTGAAGGTATGGTAGATGAAATATAGAGAAGTCGCTAAAATTGAGGCTAAAGAATTCAGTCGATAATTAATAATAATAAAAATAATTCGATGACTCCTTGGCGCAGTTGCCAAGGTTGTTGGCTTCGGCGTCGGAGGTCCTGGGTTCGATTCCCACACGGGACAACTATTTGTGTGAACCACACACAAGATAGTTGTTTCGCATCTGGGTGTTTGTCCACGTGAACTTTATGTTTGTAAAACAACACAGGAAAATGTTATCGTAAGGTAAGGGCAATGTGTTTAATTAAAAAAAATTGTTAATTGATGCTTTAAAATAAAATGTCATTCATTGAGGAATACTTATTTTCTCATCATTATATTACCGTCCAGAGACTGGTCACGGTATTGTGCGAAAAATTCGCACGTATCGACTAACCTGTTGTAACACGTGTACAATGCCTCTATAGTGTGCGGGTAATTATTTTGTTCACTGCCCAAAACCAATTGCATCGTTTAAGTAATATAATCAAAAACATGTTTACTTGCTAGGAAATTGTTATGAAATTATTTCCTTCTTGGTGCTATAACAATGTCTTTTCCGTTGTCAATTTCTTTTCCGAACCGGTGGTATTGTTTTGACAATCAACGAAGTGTAATGCTTCTATATTGAATATAGGTATTTGAATTGGACTGTTTTTGGTTGTTACCAAAAGCATGCAAATAGTACATCCTCTCTTTATAGAAGTCAATACGCTGGACATGCCTGGCTAAATTTGACATGGTATTTTGTATGTATATAGCTGCAAAGTCGTACATTAATTGGAACACGATCCTGGGTCGTACACGTACGGGAAAGCTCAGAGCGTTTGACCAATAAGATTATCAATGCATTTGTTGCATTAACAAATATTGTCGCCTAGACAAAATAAAAGCTATTGGTGTCGATGTTACTGAATTTTCTGCCATAAATTACGAACTAACAAACACAACAGCGTCAGCAGACGAGATTTAACAGAGCGAATTTCATATGTAAACTCACTTTATAAATGCTGACTTATTACGTATAACATTTTTTTATGTGAGAAAGTGGCAAACGCGGTGGCGGTTCACCTGATGTTAAGTGATAACCGCCGCCCATGGACATTTGCAACACCCTTAGGGTTTCAAATGCCACCTTTAAGTAAAGTGGGCCCCGTCTACCTCACTCACCAGACGAAACGCAGAAGTGTAATAATTCCACTTTGCGCCGGTGTCCTGTGAGGTCGTGATACGTACCCGGACGGACCTGCCATTTCGTGCAACAGTGAGCACTGTTGCGTGGCCCTACCACAGTTAATCACGGTTAACAACGAAGGTTTTTCTATGAAAGATAAAACGAACAGACGGTTCACATGCTTATAATTGCATTATGCCAAAAGAGTGTTGAAGGCGCTAGCTACGTCAACTCGATGAAATTTAATAGTACAAATAATACGAAAGGTAAGGTAAGGTCCACAGAGGTGCCTTCACATCCAGAGTGAGAAGTACGAACGAGCACTTAGTTATGTGTAAAGTTCCCCACCTTCATCAGGATGCACTGCAGCTGCCTTATGCTGATGTGGTCGATGGAGCCCGCGCAGAACTTCCCGAAGAACTTCTTCGCGCCCAACGCCCTCAAGTCCTGGATGACAAAGGGCCAAAGGTGCAGCACGTTGTTGCGAGACATGCGGTCCCGTTTCTCTATCACCACCTGTAAATGAAATAAAACCTTGCTTATTATCCCCGGAAATACTATCTGACCGTATTACTTTGCCCTTTCATTTTCTCGAATCGAGCACGGATAAAGGTCGTATTGAGCCGAACTTGCAAGATTTGGGTTTTTAAAAGTCCGGTTAGCTGTTGTAAAGACGTGTGTACTTTATTTTGCAATGTTAACACAACATTCGCCCTTATTATTGCGAAACAATAGTAGGTAGTTTCAAATTATTGATGTCTCATGCCCATTCTCTCGTGAGGAACTCAAACAAGGTACAATAAATGATGTATTAATAAAATATACCTGCATTATAATTGTCTCAAGCCAGTTATTACGCTATAATCTTGATGGCACAATCTCGAGACAATTAAAATACACGATCGTGGGACGATGGATTCAAAACTCACCGTCTCGTTTACAAAATTCCAACCATTTCAATGACTATATGACATTATACAGTTAAAACTACCTACAATTTTTAAAACCCCCAATACTTACCAATGCGAAACGTGTAAACAGATGCAACAGATTATACAAATAAAATACGTACCACTTTGGCGCCTAATAGCTGGCATTCAATAGCAGCCCTTAGCCCGCATGGACCCGCGCCGATTATGAGCACTTTCGTCTGGGCGCATGATCTACCCTTCCCATACACCTTGTGGTTGGCTCGCAGGTCGAACTTTTTGAAGAGGGCCTGAGCCTTCCAGGAGTTGACCAATTTCGCCTGTACAAAGACCATGAGTTTTTTAATACTTCGTTAAGAAGACGCGATTGGCGTAGTGGATAGAGGACCTGTATCTTGTGTCAGAGGGTGTGGTTTCGATCCCCACTACTGATCACGGAAGTAATCGGAAGATGGTTGTCATTACGTTTCTATTGTTCGACACAACATAATATCAAAACTTCAGCAAACAGCAAATAGCGGATAAAATTATTTTAAAGGGTGCCCAAATCATAAACAACAGTTTTAAGAATTATGTATCTCTGTCTAGTATTTTGATTAGAATAGATGAGTCGAGGGATTTAAATGAAAATTATAGCATTATAGGAACATGTTAAGTTTTCGTTTATGTTACATATTGACATATTGTAAGGAACATTTTTATTTTTTTAATTTTAAATTAAATTCGAAATCTTCATGAATGTAAATATTTCAACGTGACAGTAAGTAAAGTTTTAACTTCGTTACTGGATGTGAGTCGCGAGCTTATGCTAAAGTAAGAAGAATAATAAAAATTAACAATTCGCATTGCAGTTTGGTCAAAGACGCTACGGCAGATTAAGGCCATTTAAACCAGGCCTTGAAGAACCCATTGTTTTTTATTTATAATTGGTTATATGGAATTGCATGTTTTTATAGAATAATTTTCTTTGGATTGAATAATAATGACTGTCTACACTATCGCGTTGGGTCAACCCCTAATGATAGTTGTGCGCTTGTGTAATAAATAAGGAAAAAAAACCAAGAGCCGAACTAGCTTTGTCCACGGGTGTACCTTAATTCCGCGTACACGAACAACCGAGTTCAATTACCGATGGCAGCGCCAATTATATTGTTATTTGGAATTTTTGTAATTTGAGCTTAGAAGTGAATATTGTAAGTAGAGATGAAGATTTTCATAATGAGCAAAAGGTTCGCTCAGCGGTATATATTATGATGTTGAGATGAATATCTTTTACGCAGAAGTAAGATACATTATATTTTTTGTATCAGGTATTATACAATTCGGAATATTCGAACGAGTTCGTAAGGATAAATTTATTCTGCGCAAAGCAACTCGGAAACCAAAGCGGCGGTGAGCTCTCCCATTATGAAAAATAAAAATACAAAATAGGATAAAATAAACATTTTTATAACGGTTTTATACTTTTTATTCCGTGACATAAAACACTACTTTTTTTAATATTGTTATTATTCTTCTTTTTTCAATTTTCATGTAAAGTCATCCACTTCTGAGCTATGGATCAAATTTCAAGTATCTAGAATTCTAGATCATCGGGAAGTTAGTTTAAAATCATTTATAAAATTCCGCCCGGACAGAGACAGAGTTAATTAAAAAAATAACGTGGTAATAATAAAATAATATAATTCGCATTAAATGTTTTATTGTTCATTTATGCATTCGCATGGCCAAATAGCAATTGGCCAGCGCACACTTTATCGCAATTGATTAGCAACACGTCATCGTGAAACAATTAGCATTAGTGATAAAAATACTTTTCCCCACCTAGAAGATACTAATAGCTACTAGCCCAATTACACTCCTGGGGTTTGAATAATATTCGGTACCGCGCGGGCTGCACTTATCAGTACCAGTAAAACACAATATCAGTAGACTTTGTCTGCAAAATAGACCACGAGCGATACTCGCGTCTTTAAGCCTCGTAATTCGCAAGCGTCAATGAAAGTCTAGAGCAAACTTAGAATCGTTTAAATTTTAGGTTTATATGTGAAAAAAAAATATTAAGAAAGAGTCATTACACGAATTAACGCCATATTAAAACAATTTGATAAAAGACTTTCACGAAGACGACGTATAAAGATGAATTAATTATTAATTAAATTAATCCTCTCTACTCGCATTCATAATAAGCTAGCACGTGCTCAATCCGCCTTCATGCAAGCGTCGGCGTTGTACCAAAGTATGAAAGTTTATAACACTCTATATCCGCATCAAGAAAAGTAAAGTAGACACTCGGCTAGAGAGCATTAATAACGCAGTAAATCCCACTCGAGGAATAAGACATTTTGCATTTGGCAATTCGATCGATAGCGTTACGGTTCGGAGTGGTATTCTGAGAGGATGAACGCGGGCTAACAGTTATTCTATTTTCGACTATAACATCACCTCGGTCTGTTATCGTATCGATTTCCAGCCGCGTTGTTGTTATATTGTGATTACGGCGCTACGCAAACATCCAGATGGTGCGCATACTTTTTAAATGGCAACGCGCCAAATTATATGCAAATCTGTGAAAATGCATCAGCTCTGAGCGCCCGTACCGTGCTCTGTTCCGCGGCGTTCCGCGTCGCCGGTAACTCTCCAAATTAAAGTGAATTAGTTAGTTTGGTGAAACGCTTCTTAGTTTAGAAGAGAACGGTTTTAATTTGAAACTATTACTGTATACGCGTCGATGAACGGCGCTTCAAAAATAAAACTTCAATGCTTTACCGCGGTGAGCGTTTTAATGCCCCGAACGTCAGACCATTCTATTTAACAAGCGATTATTTTACCTGAAGTAGGCTTTTACAATGTATACATAGATATGTTACATTGACCACACAAACATTATTTATAAATTATAACAAATTACAGATAGCTAGCATAAAGTTTTTTTCCGACCCTTTCATTATATTGTTTCATTACACATATATTCATATAACGTACGTTATGCAAGTCCCGTTTTATGCCTGCGACTCATTGTCCGGGCACATGCTTTTAATTGGTAAAATGGTAACTTACGAAACTATTAATTTGTATGTAAAATTATGACGTTTCATAAGACCGCGAAAGCGCCTATGTGAATAAATATATTTTGAATTGGAATTTAATTCAAAATACTCAAGTAACCTGAGTTCGATCCCCGGTGCCGGCACCAATCAAACTGTTATTTTTAAGTGCTGAATAGCACGAGTCGCGTGGTGGACTATGCACAAAGACCCTCCGTACAAAGAAGCACTTTCCAGTAGTGGGACATGTTATATAGGTTGTTACTTCACATTTTTAATCGCTTTGCAGTATGTTGTTAAGTTACACGATCCATAAATCTTTTGTAAATTCTTTTGCTAGTAGCTTAGTTTTAATAAAGAAAAAACGTACGGTATTATTGTGAATATCTCAAACGTTAATTCTTCCATTCAGCTAAAATTGCTGAACAATTGTCATGTGTTGCGGTCGTTCGCATCTGGCTTGAGGAGCAACTGCTTCCAGCAAACAAGCAAAAGGGTTCGTGCGGATGATACAAACCTTTAGTTTGGGATAGAAATCCGGCAGCCGGTTGGGCTTTAGGTTGAGCGTGTTGCATATTTCGCGGTGCAACGCGAGGATCTGCTTCATGGTGCCCGCCGAGCAGAAGTGGTCGAACATTTCTGCCGCGAGGGCGCACTCGGGCGGAGTGGGCTCGGCGCGACCCTCCTTGTTCATTTTGCGGCCTGCTACATGAAAAAACAAACCGATTACAAATTACACAGTCGTAGCTGCGAAATTAATCATTACCATTTTTACTTTACAGTGGTGGGGCCATGCGATGGGGGCTCTTCCGGTAAGTACCGCTACTTCACAGGAGCACGTGAAGTGGAGTATCATACGTATTCACAGTTTCATCTTGCGGGTGCTGTTACCGGGCCATTTTTGTTTTCGCCAACACATCTGCAGGCCCTCAGTTTTTGTGGGAAGACCATGGCCGCGGTAATCGCTTAACAACAGAAGCGCCTGCTCATTCGACAGATTTTCGCATAAAAAATACCATCTCTTGGAAAACTTAATAGCAATTTTAGCGTTATTAGGTTACGGGCAAAGGATGCTGTTAAACGATGCTAATTCAGTTGAGCGACGTCGTATTGACGAAAGGCACTGGTAATTTCGCCGTTAAGCCGATGCGGTAACGACCATAACGGCACGCAGTGACATCATAAGAGCGCTTCTGAAGTGCCCAGATATACTGCACGCCGTTTTCATCGGCTGCAGTGATATCAGAGATGTCACTAGCGATTTCCTCAATTGAAACAATACGTGAGACCGCCGTATCCTTTATTGGCCTAATAGTGACAAACAGGTGTAAGAAATGTGCTGTGAAGGAGATTTCATTTAAATGGTATTGTTTGTTTTAAATTATTTAATATATAAAACATACAGTACTATTTAATAAATCGTATTTGTTCGATTTAACGTAACACATAGACTAGACGATACCACACAAAAATAGTAAAATCTTATTATAAAGATAATACTAATAATTTCCTTATGTTTATTGACAAGTTTTACTTGAGACTGTCTCTATGTATTTTATCCAACAAAACCCACGGGACTGAGACTAGTAAAAGGGATAACACGAAATATTAGGCACCTTTAATGGAGCGCTGTAGGAAAATGTTCGTTGGTGGAACGATACAAATGAATGCAATACTAAGCCACCCGATCGTTTGCGACTAAAATCAAATGATCACAGACTGCATGGAAACGCCCAGCACTTTCACGAGCGACGCAACCGTCCAAAAGCGCACTCATCTCTCAAAACCACGCGGCCTGAACACTGGCCGCCAGTTTTATGTAACCGAGACTAAATACAGTTCAAGTAAGCCCCGACGTCGTCACATACCGCTGAAGTCACTTTAATTTCACTTTCCACGAGTGTAAGAACTTGTTTGAGGTTAGGACGTCATTTTCACTTACGTGTTGGTTGCAAATAGAGAAATAAGTATTATAACTTACTTGCGATTAATACTTTCTTAACATTATCAAGTACTTACGCTTATGATTACAAATTAGATATTGTGACCTTGTTTACAGTCTACTGTGTACATTACTCCCGGTTTATGAAACACTGATCATCGTAGAAATTAACTAATCAGCTGTTATTTTAGACGATTAAACTCAGCGAATCGATCATTCTCATTATTACGATTATTCTTCTTATTCTCGTTCTAAGGCAGTTGGCGGTCCTTATGATATCGATACAATAAGAAGATCATTCTAATCAATTCAGAGAATCCTTTTGGCAACTAAAATGACATTTGAAAAGCCATTTGACAGCTGACTAGTTAATACCTACGATGATCAGTGTTTCAGAAACCGGGCGTTAGTGTGTAAGAGTTGTTAGTTCAGCTTGTGAGCCAACCCAGTAAGTGACAGAAACTGCTGAGTTTCTGCTGTGGAGATACCTGAGTATCTCAACCTTTATCTACACAAGGTTTTAATATGATATTAGTATACTTTATAATAATACGTGCTATTTTGTGGGTTGTCGGCCCTACGCGTATCATAAATACATAAATATAAATACGCAGACTTGTAAATACCTAACTTATTACATATTTTACTTCGTCTGCCTAACTATAAATGTATTTGTATTTTTATCTTAATACCATACCTACTTTGAATTCCACATACTCACTATATTTTTCGGAAAGAAATAAATAAAGAATTATTCGGTAAAACATTGTGAAGGGCGTTTTAAAGTGGATTCATTGTCTAGACAAAACGGCCACAAAGGTATTACCTCGTGTACACTAATGTAATTAAGTTTTACATTTATCATGTTCAGTGATCGAAATCACCTAGTAAGCATGTAGTTGTCTTGCCTCTTCCATAGTTGATAATATAATTTACAACCCATAATTTAATATGACTTATAACTAGTCTACATTTTATAAGAAAAAATAAAAAAAAAATGTAAAGAAATAAAAAGAACATTATACATATATAACTTTAAGTCAACGTTTTGTATCAGCATATACTATTGTAGCTAAATAGTGTTTGTGCTGGGGTGTGAATTTACGTTTCCTCAAGACAGTGAGGAGGATATAAAGATTTCTCACTGACAGGACATTACTGATGTAGTAATAATGCATCCGTTGGAAATCTTCTCTGTTTAAATTGTATTCATTAGCTTTAGCGCTCTGCGTTGTGCACTTTATCACTTTTATCATTTAGTTTTACTCGCTCCTCCCCAGATTGGGATGCAATAAGTCAAGATAGATTGTGCCAGCGCTATGTAGATTTCTGTAAGAACAGTCCTAGAAAAGTTCTGATCGATCATATTCTTCCCAGTCACCACATGTCTTAAGGACTTGAATATCCAGATCAATTTTCTGTGTTATTGACTTGATCAAGATGCGAATTAAAGGAAAGCCTTTGATCAACCATCGCTACCAAGTACTTAGTATTATCATTTTTTCAATAGAAGTACAATCACAATCATTAGATCTCATGGCGAAAGTACAAGAGTGAATTTTGAGTCTGAAATCAGGACTAAGTAAGTATGCGCCAATTCGAATCCCATTATCCGGTATTGAAAAGATAAATGGAAATAAATGAAGTAGTTAAGTTTATGCTTAATTTAATGAGCTTTCTAATTGCATTTTTGGATATTAAAAAAAACTTTTGTTGGAAAAAAATCATGTTTAAACTTTTTAAGCTTGAATTTCACAAAGTGGACCACTTAATTTTTTTTTAATAAAACTAGCTAATAGTGTATATATGGTCCTTGCCAAGTTTCATAACGGGCCGAGAAATCCTTTAGGAGCTAGGCCATCTACAGTGTCGAAGGGTAGCGCTGGTGCCCGGGTCGCGCCTTCTGCCAGCTAACGCGAGATTACAAAAACTTCCAATAGAATATTTTGTTTACCTAATTGAGTTTGATAAAATTTGATCTTACTTAGATGTACTTACTTAAATTTACAATAAAACGACGTTATTATGTTTCGATTACTTATAAATGTTCATTAAAGAATCTGTATGTTACTTCTGCGTTTTATCAAAGTGCCTTCAGGAGTCGGAAAGAAGGCATGGTATTTTTTTGAATCTGATATTGTCATTGAGGAGTCAAATCTGATTTTAAGCCTCATTCCGTATATAAACATAGTAAGATTACTTTGTCGCATTGATATTGAAGCCATTTCGCACCCTGCGTAGAACGTGACATCTGCAAAATTGTAATTGTAGGACAGCCGATTCAATTTATATTTTTTTATTTTGGTTATAGTTTTCTACTGTACACAAATCTTATACATAGCAGTTGCTATTAAAATTTTTGAGGTTTGTAATATGATTAGGTATATAGCGTGTCGTTACCATCGCGACAATAAATGAACACACGTCTAACGCTACTTGCCAATAATCATAAAAAAATATTAATGTTAAACAAAATCCATAATTAAAAAAAATATTTTACAAACAAACTAATTAAGTAAAAAAAAAAAACAAAATTTGTAACATCCTATACAACTCGCGCCACAGCGTCTCATTACAAGCCTGTCCTTCTAACAGTATGTTTTGTCTCTTTTAAATTCATTCAACCCATTCATATGCTTTGTGACCTTTAGAAATGAACTTTACGTTACGCTTTTATAGGTAAGGGTGTTCTAAAATTCTTTGTTTTGGAAAATTTAATAACTCTGTAAATATCGATGTTTAAAGAATTTAAATGTTTAATACAACTTTATAAAGTAATCCTTTATTTGTGTGTTCATTTATTGTCGCGATGGTAACGACACGCTGTATAAACAAACAGTAAACTTTTTGAATAAATAATTATATAAATTTAGGAAATAAGACACTTCTCGGCCCATTATGAAACTTAGCAAGGACCATCTATACACTATTAGCTAGTTTTAGAAAAAAAAAATTCAACTTTGTGAAATTCAAGCTTAAAAAGTTTAAAAAAATTTTTTCATATCCAAAAATGAGATATTAATTTTTTTTTAAATTCATACAGCCGTGATAGCTCAGTGTCCGGGCGCTCGCCTTTCATTCAATATACCAGAGAAACTTGACTTCGATCCCCGGTGCCGGCACCAATGAAGTTTTTAACTTTAAGTGCTGACTTATCACGTGCTCCGCGGTGAAGCAAAACATCGTGAGGAAACCTGCATATTTTCAAAATAATAACAAAAAAATATATATTTCGAAAATATGTGAAGTCCGCCAACCCGCAGTGGGGCCGCGTGGTGTAATATGCCCTGTTACCTGCTGTATAGAGAAGGCCTTTGCCCAGCAGTGGGACAAGTATAGGCTTTTACTACTCCAAAAATGCAATTAGAAAGCTTATTAAATTAAGCATACACTTGACTACTTCATTTATTTCCATTTAACTTTTCAATACCGGATAATGGGATTCGAAGTGGCGCATACCTGCCGGTTAGTCACATTTTTAAAGCTCTCTAAATCGTAAACTACATTTTATACTGTAAAAATAATTTGTATCTGGATTGAGGACATATATAGGAATAACATAATCAAATATTACTAAAATCGGAAACATCAACTTTTTTACGTGTCCGCTTCGCCTGGTATGCCCCAGAGGTGAAATATGTTGATTTAACGAATTTCAAAAATTTATGACTAACTGAATTTTTCTTTATTAATTCTCAAGATCATTATCTAAATAAACCGATAAAATATTTGTCCTACAAAATTCAAAGTTT